AAAGTCATATGGGATGAGAGCTGCATTCAGCTGCCTTTTGAGTCGACTCAAAAGTCATATGGGATGAGAGCTGCATTGAGCTGCCTTTTGAGTCGACTCAAAAGTCATATGGGATGAGAGCTGCATTGAGCTGCCTTTTGAGTCGACTCAAAAGTCATATGGGATGAGAGCTGCATTGAGCTGCCTTTTGAGTCGACTCAAAAGTCATATGGGATGAGAGCTGCATTGAGCTGCCTTTTGAGTCGACTCAAAAGTCATATGGGATGAGAGCTGCATTGAGCTGCCTTTTGAGTCGACTCAAAAGTCATATGGGATGAGAGCTGCATTGAGCTGCCTTTTGAGTCGACTCAAAGGTCATATGGGATGAGAGCTGCATTGAGCTGCCTTTTGAGTCGACTCAAAAGTCATATGGGATGAGAGCTGCATTGAGCTGCCTTTTGAGTCGACTCAAAAGTCATATGGGATGAGAGTTGCATTGAGCTGCCTTTTGAGTCGACTCAAAAGTCATATGGGATGAGAGCTGCATTGAGCTGCCTTTTGAGTCGACTCAAAAGTCATATGGGATGAGAGCTGCATTGAGCTGCCTTTTGAGTCGACTCAAAAGTCATATGGGATGAGAGCTGCATTGAGCTGTCTTTTGAGTCGACTCAAAAGTCATATGGGATGAGAGCTGCATTGAGCTGCCTTTTGAGTCGACTCAAAAGTCATATGGGATGAGAGCTGCATTGAGCTGCCTTTTGAGTCGACTCAAAAGTCATATGGGATGAGAGCTGCATTGAGCTGCCTTTTGAGTCGACTCAAAAGTCATATGGGATGAGAGCTGCATTGAGCTGCCTTTTGAGTCGACTCAAAAGTCATATGGGATGAGAGCTGCATTGAGCTGCCTTTTGAGTCGACTCAAAAGTCATATGGGATGAGAGCTGCATTGAGCTGCCTTTTGAGTCGACTCAAAAGTCATATGGGATGAGAGCTGCATTGAGCTGCCTTTTGAGTCGACTCAAAAGTCATATGGGATGAGAGCTGCATTGAGCTGCCTTTTGAGTCGACTCAAAAGTCATATGGGATGAGAGCTGCATTGAGCTGCCTTTTGAGTCGACTCAAAAGTCATATGGGATGAGAGCTGCATTGAGCTGCCTTTTGAGTCGACTCAAAAGTCATATGGGATGAGAGCTGCATTGAGCTGCCTTTTGAGTCGACTCAAAAGTCATATGGGATGAGAGCTGCATTGAGCTGCCTTTTGAGTCGACTCAAAAGTCATATGGGATGAGAGCTGCATTGAGCTGCCTTTTGAGTCGACTCAAAAGTCATATGGGATGAGAGCTGCATTGAGCTGCCTTTTGAGTCGACTCAAAAGTCATATGGGATGAGAGCTGCATTGAGCTGTCTTTTGAGTCGACTCAAAAGTCATATGGGATGAGAGCTGCATTGAGCTGCCTTTTGAGTCGACTCAAAAGTCATATGGGATGAGAGCTGCATTGAGCTGCCTTTTGAGTCGACTCAAAAGTCATATGGGATGAGAGCTGCATTGAGCTGCCTTTTGAGTCGACTCAAAAGTCATATGGGATGAGAGCTGCATTGAGCTGCCTTTTGAGTCGACTCAAAAGTCATATGGGATGAGAGCTGCATTGAGCTGCCTTTTGAGTCGACTCAAAAGTCATATGGGATGAGAGCTGCATTGAGCTGCCTTTTGAGTCGACTCAAAAGTCATATGGGATGAGAGCTGCATTGAGCTGCCTTTTGAGTCGACTCAAAAGTCATATGGGATGAGAGCTGCATTGAGCTGCCTTTTGAGTCGACTCAAAAGTCATATGGGATGAGAGCTGCATTGAGCTGCCTTTTGAGTCGACTCAAAAGTCATATGGGATGAGAGCTGCATTGAGCTGCCTTTTGAGTCGACTCAAAAGTCATATGGGATGAGAGCTGCATTGAGCTGCCTTTTGAGTCGACTCAAAAGTCATATGGGATGAGAGCTGCATTGAGCTGTCTTTTGAGTCGACTCAAAAGTCATATGGGATGAGAGCTGCATTGAGCTGCCTTTTGAGTCGACTCAAAAGTCATATGGGATGAGAGCTGCATTGAGCTGCCTTTTGAGTCGACTCAAAAGTCATATGGGATGAGAGCTGCATTGAGCTGCCTTTTGAGTCGACTCAAAAGTCATATGGGATGAGAGCTGCATTGAGCTGCCTTTTGAGTCGACTCAAAAGTCATATGGGATGAGAGCTGCATTGAGCTGCCTTTTGAGTCGACTCAAAAGTCATATGGGATGAGAGCTGCATTGAGCTGTCTTTTGAGTCGACTCAAAAGTCATATGGGATGAGAGCTGCATTGAGCTGCCTTTTGAGTCGACTCAAAAGTCATATGGGATGAGAGCTGCATTGAGCTGCCTTTTGAGTCGACTCAAAAGTCATATGGGATGAGAGCTGCATTGAGCTGCCTTTTGAGTCGACTCAAAAGTCATATGGGATGAGAGCTGCATTGAGCTGCCTTTTGAGTCGACTCAAAAGTCATATGGGATGAGAGCTGCATTGAGCTGCCTTTTGAGTCGACTCAAAAGTCATATGGGATGAGAGCTGCATTGAGCTGCCTTTTGAGTCGACTCAAAAGTCATATGGGATGAGAGCTGCATTGAGCTGCCTTTTGAGTCGACTCAAAAGTCATATGGGATGAGAGCTGCATTGAGCTGCCTTTTGAGTCGACTCAAAAGTCATATGGGATGAGAGCTGCATTGAGCTGCCTTTTGAGTCGACTCAAAAGTCATATGGGATGAGAGCTGCATTGAGCTGCCTTTTGAGTCGACTCAAAAGTCATATGGGATGAGAGCTGCATTGAGCTGCCTTTTGAGTCGACTCAAAAGTCATATGGGATGAGAGCTGCATTGAGCTGCCTTTTGAGTCGACTCAAAAGTCATATGGGATGAGAGCTGCATTGAGCTGCCTTTTGAGTCGACTCAAAAGTCATATGGGATGAGAGCTGCATTGAGCTGCCTTTTGAGTCGACTCAAAAGTCATATGGGATGAGAGCTGCATTGAGCTGTCTTTTGAGTCGACTCAAAAGTCATATGGGATGAGAGCTGCATTGAGCTGCCTTTTGAGTCGACTCAAAAGTCATATGGGATGAGAGCTGCATTGAGCTGCCTTTTGAGTCGACTCAAAAGTCATATGGGATGAGAGCTGCATTGAGCTGCCTTTTGAGTCGACTCAAAAGTCATATGGGATGAGAGCTGCATTGAGCTGTCTTTTGAGTCGACTCAAAAGTCATATGGGATGAGAGCTGCATTGAGCTGCCTTTTGAGTCGACTCAAAAGTCATATGGGATGAGAGCTGCATTGAGCTGCCTTTTGAGTCGACTCAAAAGTCATATGGGATGAGAGCTGCATTGAGCTGCCTTTTGAGTCGACTCAAAAGTCATATGGGATGAGAGCTGCATTGAGCTGCCTTTTGAGTCGACTCAAAAGTCATATGGGATGAGAGCTGCATTGAGCTGCCTTTTGAGTCGACTCAAAAGTCATATGGGATGAGAGCTGCATTGAGCTGTCTTTTGAGTCGACTCAAAAGTCATATGGGATGAGAGCTGCATTGAGCTGCCTTTTGAGTCGACTCAAAAGTCATATGGGATGAGAGCTGCATTGAGCTGCCTTTTGAGTCGACTCAAAAGTCATATGGGATGAGAGCTGCATTGAGCTGCCTTTTGAGTCGACTCAAAAGTCATATGGGATGAGAGCTGCATTGAGCTGCCTTTTGAGTCGACTCAAAGGTCATATGGGATGAGAGCTGCATTGAGCTGCCTTTTGAGTCGACTCAAAAGTCATATGGGATGAGAGCTGCATTGAGCTGCCTTTTGAGTCGACTCAAAAGTCATATGGGATGAGAGTTGCATTGAGCTGCCTTTTGAGTCGACTCAAAAGTCATATGGGATGAGAGCTGCATTGAGCTGCCTTTTGAGTCGACTCAAAAGTCATATGGGATGAGAGCTGCATTGAGCTGCCTTTTGAGTCGACTCAAAAGTCATATGGGATGAGAGCTGCATTGAGCTGTCTTTTGAGTCGACTCAAAAGTCATATGGGATGAGAGCTGCATTGAGCTGCCTTTTGAGTCGACTCAAAAGTCATATGGGATGAGAGCTGCATTGAGCTGCCTTTTGAGTCGACTCAAAAGTCATATGGGATGAGAGCTGCATTGAGCTGCCTTTTGAGTCGACTCAAAAGTCATATGGGATGAGAGCTGCATTGAGCTGCCTTTTGAGTCGACTCAAAAGTCATATGGGATGAGAGCTGCATTGAGCTGCCTTTTGAGTCGACTCAAAAGTCATATGGGATGAGAGCTGCATTGAGCTGCCTTTTGAGTCGACTCAAAGGTCATATGGGATGAGAGCTGCATTGAGCTGCCTTTTGAGTCGACTCAAAAGTCATATGGGATGAGAGCTGCATTGAGCTGTCTTTTGAGTCGACTCAAAAGTCATATGGGATGAGAGCTGCATTGAGCTGCCTTTTGAGTCGACTCAAAAGTCATATGGGATGAGAGCTGCATTGAGCTGCCTTTTGAGTCGACTCAAAAGTCATATGGGATGAGAGCTGCATTGAGCTGCCTTTTGAGTCGACTCAAAAGTCATATGGGATGAGAGCTGCATTGAGCTGCCTTTTGAGTCGACTCAAAAGTCATATGGGATGAGAGCTGCATTGAGCTACCTTTTGAGTCGACTCAAAAGTCATATGGGATGAGAGCTGCATTGAGCTGCCTTTTGAGTCGACTCAAAGGTAATATGGGATGAGAGCTGCATTGAGCTGCCTTTTGAGTCGACTCAAAAGTCATATGGGATGAGAGCTGCATTGAGCTGCTGCCGGATGGATTGGCAGAACATGCGGTTAGCATCTGGAGGGGAGGGAGGTCGGGGAGGGTGGAGTGGAGGTAAGGAAGTGGGGGGGGGGGGTAGGTGGGTCCCGTGGGTGGGGGAAGGAGAGAGTGGGCACTGAGCACGGAGCATCAAATGAGAGCTGCATTGAGCTACTGTCGGATAGATTGGCAGAACAGGTGCTTGGCGTCTGGTGGGTGGGGAGCGATGGGGGGTGGAGGAGGGGGGGTGTGGGAAGGATAGTGCGGGCATGCAGCATCGGATGAGTGCTGCAATGAGCTGCTGGCGGAAAGATTGACAGAAGAGGCGCTTGGCATCTGGTGGCAAGGGAGGTGGGCAAGGAGAGGATGGGTGGGGGAAGGATAGTGGGGGCACTGAGCACTCAGCATTGGATGAGCGCTAAGTTGAGCTGCTGGCGGATGGATTGGCAGAACAGGCGCTTGGCGTCTCGTGGGGGGCAAAATGGGGGAGAAAGATGGGGGCCGAGGGAGGGGGAGCACGGAGGTGGAGGAGGTAGGGGGGGAAGGGAGGGTCAGGTGGGTGGGGGATGGAGAGAGGGGGGGGGGAAGTATCGAAAGAGTCGCGCATTTGTTTGCCACGCTGTGAAGTCATTTGTCACAACGACGCTGCGTTTAATGCTGGCGGAAGGGCCAGAGATGGACTGCCGGCCCTTGTGTGGCAGGGGAGTCTTACTGGCAGAGCAGTGAAAGCGCAGGGAAGCAGGGAAGGAGCAGCGGTGCAGCACAAGGCCGTGGGGGTCAGCCGGGGCGACAGACAGTGCATGGATGGAAGGGCCAAAGATGGCTTTGTGTTTGTGTCCCCACATGCATGAAAGGGCCAGGGTTGACTTACTGGCAGAGCAGTGGAAGCGCAGGGAAGCAGGGAAGGAGCAGCGGTGCAGCACGAGGCCGTGGGGTTCAGCCGGGGCGTACTGGGGCTTGCTGGTGAAGGGCCCTCCGTGCACATCTAGCAGCTCTGATACCACCTGCAGGAGTGACGCAGGGGAAGTAACAGCCTATACTTTAGAGGAGGCGTACTGGGGCTTGCTGGTGAAGGGGCCTCCGTGCACATCTAGCAGCTCTGATACCACCTGCAAGAATGATGCAGGGGAAGAAGAAGCTTATTCTCTAGGGGGGGGCATACTGGGGCTTGCTGGTGAAGGGGCCTCCGTGCACATCTAGCAGCTCTGATACCACCTGCAGGAATGACGCAGAAAAAAATAAATAATAATAATAATTAAAAAAAAAACCCTTTTTTGCTGGTGAACGGCCCTCCGTGCACCTGCAGCAGCTCTGATACCACCTGCATTTGTATTGCAGCAAAGTTGGGAAGACGGAAATTGTGAAGACCTGTACTGTGACTGAGGATGGAAAGAAAATTCTGGTTCAACAGGAAAGCTGTCCCAACCACCTGCATTGTCTGTCTTTCTGTACCCACTTAACCCACCGCCGCCTTTCACTCCTAAACTCGCTCCCTCCCTCACCTCGGGTCGCTCCTGCCCGCGCCCCACCATGAGCAGCACGGCCATCATGCACCGAATCTGGTGCCACAGGAACGCTGTCCCCACCACCTGCAGCAATGTTTGACTGTACCCACCCAACCCACCATCTTTCAAGCCAGCAGCAAGCCTCAATGCGCCTTCACTCCCTCCCTCACCTCTGGTCGTTCCTGCCCGCGCCCCACCATGAGCAGCACGGCCATCATACACCGAATCTGGTGCCACAGGAATGCCGTCCCCACCACCTGCAGCACCCACACAGACGGCCGCTCAGCTGACCTGATAGCCCTGCTTGGGCTAACATCTCCCTCCGAAGAAGCTGTGGCAGAGGGGAGGAGAAATATGACAATCGAAGGTGTGGCAGAGCAGAGAGTCAGAGACAACAAAAACGCCGTCCCCTGCATTTTGTTAGGTGCAGTAACATCTCCCTCAGAAGAAGCTGTGCCTCAAAATTCTGCGTCCATGCGGCAGAAATCGCCTCCTCAAGAGGCGAGACAAGCCACTCGCATGCAATACGATGAGATGAGATGCAGAGGGACTGAACCGGCAGGACTCACTCACGTGAAGTGAGCGCAGCAAAGGGGGCAGAAAAGGGCACGATGCGGCACTCTGACTGACATGTCCCTCTCGAACGACTTCACGCTCGCTGCATCCATGCGGCAGAAGTTGCCTCCTCAAGACGCACGCCCATGAAAGGAGATGAATCCAGAGGGACAGAGACTCACGTGACGACAGGGTCGCGAATGGCACGATGCGGCACTCTGACTGGCATGTCCCGCTCGAACGACTTGACGCTCTCTGCATCCATGCGGCAGAAATTGCGAGAGCTCCCCTCAGGGGCAGGTCTCACTCACGCGATGACAGGGTGGCGAATGGCAGGATGCGGCACAGCGAGATGTCCCGCTCAAACGACTTCACGTTCTCTGCATCCATTCGACAGAAGTTGCGAGGGCTCCCCTCAGGGGCAGGTCTCACTCACATGACGACAGGGTGGCAAAGGGCACGATGCGGCACAGCGACATGTCCCGCTCGAACGACTTCACATTCTCTGCATCCATTCGGCAGAAGTTGCCTCCTTAAGACCCACATGAGATGAGATGAATCCAGAGAGACAGGACTCACATGACAACAGGGCGGCGAAGGGCACGACGCGGCACTCTGAGATGTCCCTCTCAAACGACTTCACATTCTCTGCATCCATTCAAGAGAAGTTGCGAGGGCTCCCCTCAGGGACAGGTCTCACTCACGTGACAACAGGGCGACAAATGGCAGGATGCGGCACACTGAGATGACATGTCCCGCTCGAACGACTTGACGCTCGCTGCATCCATGCGGCAGAAATTGCCTCCTCAAGACGCACGCCCATGAAAGGAGATGAATCCAGAGGGACAGAGACTCACGTGACGACAGGGTCGCGAATGGCACGATGCGGCACGCTGACTGACATGTCCCGCTCGAACGACCTGACGCTCGCTGCATCCATGCGGCAGAAATTGCCTCCTCAACGTATGGGATGAGATGTGACGGTGGTGGACGTGACGGGCAGGACTCACTCACATGACGACAGGGTGGCAAAGGGCACGACGCGGCACAGCGACATGTCTCGCTCGAACGACTTGACGTTCTCTGCATCCATTCGACAGAAGTTGCGGAAATCATGGCGGCCCTTGAAGAGTGCTGCTGCCCGCTGCATGGCCTGGTGTTGAAGGTGAAAAGGTGAGAATGTGAGAAGGTGAGAAGGTGAAGGAGAGGTGAACAAACGTGGAAACAAGAGATGAAGCAGAAAAGAGGAGGAGATGGAGAAGATAAGTCTGCTACAGAACAGGAAGAAAGAATAATGAAGGGAAACGGGTGAACGGACGTGGGCAAAGAGGAGGAGAGGAATCACCGGAATATCGAGGCCAGGTTCGTCGACAAAGTAGAATCTGTACTCTCGTTCCAAACAGCTGAACCTGCAGTGGCAGCAACAACAGCAGCAGCAGCAGCAGCAGCAGCAGCCACACACACACACGAACATGAATCCCAAAACCAAGGGCCCAAACAGAGCGTGCAGGGCCTCATCAGATAACTTTTGAGGGGAGAAAAAAAAAGATAGGAAACAAAAAAGACAAGGAACAGAAGGGGTGAGCTGGGCAGGAGCCACGTGACTGCGAGAGGGTTTCAATTCTCTAAAAGTTTGTTCGGCACTCACACAGATAGTCACAGAATTCAACTCATATGGAAATTATCACCCACCTGGCGCTGAAGTCCGGAGTGGCAGGAGCCCATGCCAGCACACGGATGTCGTCAGGAAGAGCTCTGTTGAGCGATGCCACATAGTCAATCTCGCCTGCCACGTCATCAGTGTCCTTTGCCACGTCATGAGGCTCCTTTGCCATGTCATCAGGCTCCCTTGCCACATCAGTTGCTGCCAGACCAGCACCAACGCTGTCACTGCTGAGGTTGATCTGGCTGGCAGTTGGGTCTGCTGAGGTGGCAGTAGCTGTTGCGAAGTCAGTTGCTGTCATTTCTGTGCGTTGCTGACGTGGACGAACTGAGGAACGCAGATGAAGTGCAACCACCTGATATAGTCACAAATTGGGGTCCAAAAAAGCAGTTGAGGGTGAAGATTCAGGAAATTCTCAATGCAGACCTTTGAATTGTGAATGTCTGGAAACTAGAATCTGAAAAAATCACCTGACAATTCACCTTATTATAAACCTGAACACTCACCTGGCCAATGGCGTTCACCCCTCGGTCCGTCCTTCCACATCTGGAATATCTTGCCGATTCATCCTTCATAATGTCTTTCATTATAACCACACCTCCTTTGGTCACAGCTCCACTCCAAGCAGCAGCAGAAGCACCTTCGTTATAACCACATTCAGTGGAAGCCGCATCTCTCTGCCTCGCCGCTCTCTTCTGCTTCCGCTGCAGCTTAGCATCCAATCGACCATTCGATACAGTCACATCTTTTCCTCCCTGCCCAAGTGGCGTGCGACCACCATTCAATACAGTCACACGCCTTCCCTCCTGCTGAAGCGGTGTGCAGCAAACACCCCTCGCTACAGTCACATCGCACTCCTTTTCTCTGCTATTGTCAACGACAGCAGCAGATGCAGACGGTGCAGCGGCGGGCGTGGGTGCTTGTGGAGAAGCAGCTTGTTGATGCTGTGGGGAAGTCATTTGAAGCGCCTCGCCAGCGGCAGACGTGGGTGCTTGTGGGGAAGCAGGAGAGGTGGCAGGGATCAGGAGTTTCGTGTGTAGCAGAGCTGACACCAACCGGCCCTGGCAGTAGGAGTCAAGACAGGGATGAAGGGAGGAAAGGGGCAGCAAGGGATGACATTTTCTTAGGCGCCTCAAAAACGGGCTTGTGGAGAAGCAGGAGAGGCAGCAGGGAGCAGCAGTTTCGTGTGTAGCAGAGCTGACACTAACCGTCCCTGGCAGTATGACAGGGGATGGAGGGAGCAGGGGACGCAGCAACGGAAGACATTTCAAAAAAGGGGAGCAGAGGAGGGGTGGCAGGGAGCAGCAGCTGCGTGTTCAGCAGAGCTGACACTAGCTTGCAAGTGAGTGAGTGGCAAGGGAGTAAAATAGGGAGGCAGGGAGCAAGGAGAAAGGAGAGGCCGGGGAGAGGAGGGGCGGGGAAATAAAAACAAAAAAAAGGAGAAGAAACATGAGGGACGGAAAAGGAGAAGAAACATGAGGGACGGAAAAGGAGAAGAAACATGAGGGACGGAAAAGGAGAAGAAACATGAGGGACGGAAAAGGAGAAGAAACATGAGGGACGGAAAAGGAGAAGAAACATGAGGGACGGAAAAGGAGAAGAAACATGAGGGACGGAAAAGGAGATAAGTATCGTTTTGGCGTGCTTGTAATAACGGGGCCTTTGATGCTGATTTAACCCTAGATTAACGATGCAGAGACAGGAGGGGGGCGCGGTGAGTGCAGTGCAGGTAGCGGGAACAGACCGTGGCATGGGTGGGTGATGTGTGATGGTGAATGGGTGTGAGACAATGAATGAATGCATACGTGACAGCAGCTAATGTGACAGTGAGTGGCCGCAGTGCAGTGCGGTGAAGTGCGGTGCGGTGCAGTGCAGTGCAGTGCAGTGCAGTGCAGTGCAGCATCGCCTTACTTCTACAGTAGGCCCCACGATGCCTTGCGATGCAAAGCCGAGGTACCTGCAGGGGGCAGCAGAAGACAAGAGTAGGACAGAGGATGATGCATAAGTGAAGAGAGTAAAGGAGGAGAGCAGGAGAAGAGGAGGGTAGGATAAAGGGAAACAGGATAGGAGGAGTGATACCCCCTCCCTCCACACTCAGATCAACTCGATCCCATCATAACACCTTTAGACTCACCTCCACCCCATCATAACACCTTCAGACTCACCTCCACCCCATCATAACACCTTCAGACTCACCTCCACTGTCCACCCCATCATAACACCTCCCCACTCACCTCGACCATTGATTCACACTCACGTCGATCCCACCAGAATTCACTGACACTCACCTCGACCCCAAGTACATGATCTGCAGTGCCACGTGTCGCGTCCTGTAGTTCTCTAGCGCCTTCCCACGAACCTTCCTCCCTCCCTTCCCTCGCCTCCTGCCACTCTGTAAATCCCCACCACCCCCACCTCCACCATCCTCACTATCATCAACCGCTGCCTCTTGAGTCAACAGGGTCAATGCAAGTACCTCATCCCTTTCCCCACTAATCTCTTGGAGAGCATCCTCATTCCCCCTACCGGACTTAACTCCCGCACTCTCCTCCCTTTTCGCATTATCTACCTTCTCCTCCGCTTCCCCGGCCTCCGCCTCCCCGTCCCCCGCTTCCCCATTTCCCTCTCCCCATGGCGGAACCACCCCCTGCGCGCGGAGCAACGCTTCAGCCTGTGCGAGGCGGAGCTGCGCTTCCGCCAGCGACAGCTCCAGATGCTGGGCGCGGGGGGCGGGGGGAGGGGGAGGAGGGGGGAATGGGTGGGGGAGGGAGGGGGCGACGGGAGGCGAGAGTTGAGGAAGCGGCAAAGAGGGAGCTGGGGGGAGGAGTGGGTGGGGGGAAAGGTGAAAGGACTGTACGATGGGGTAGCAATGTGTGCATAATGCAGTCTCAATCCAACCTGTAGCACGGAATACCCAACTTGTGAAAGCGAAACCGGAGGAGATAGAGTAGAACGGTAACTCCAAACACCCACACTGAATTTCCTAGATTTATCTCCTTTTATTTTCTGGGACGGTGTAGCTACGGTCAGTTGAAGCCTACCGCTAAACGCTCAACACACGAGCACTTGCAGCCTGGCGTTTCATCCATCTCTTTCCGCCACGAATACAATCAAGTCTTGAGATCCTCCGCCGCTCCGGGGTTCATAGCCTGCACGAGTTTTTGTAAAAACTCGCGGTTTTATCAACCGCTGTGCGGATTTGATTGGGTAAAGGAGGGGGGAGAGCCCCTTTGGTGTTACCCCGGCGGTTGCGAAGGTTGGGGGAAGGTTTTCGCGACAAATGAGATGGGAAGGGGGAATGTGATCAAAATCGTCGAGGGGGTTTTTGTGGGGAAACATTTGAAATTGCGCTCGGCCTGGTTGGCGGGAACGAGGCTGGGGAGGGTCATCCCATGCGAGATGCATTTCGTCATTACTCGATATCGCGGGCGTGGTAACTTGCTCAATAGTTGTTTTCGCACGAAGCATTTTGCTCGTCGTTGTCCATTCGTGGCTCACGAAATTCAGTTGACGGACATCATGAAACTGCTCTTTGGCGGTCAGAAATGGCCATCACCCCTGTTCTGTTTCCCTGAGCTCACAATCTGTCATTCATCTGGTTACACGCGTTTTCGCACGGGATTAATCCTTTTTCGTCAAGCTCTCAAAGTGATCCTTTACCCGAAGTCATTCATCGGTTTTTGCGGAGTAACAACAATGGCTGCTGCTTCGCACACCACGCCTGACGCCGGAAATGACGCCGCGACTACCGCTGGTGAACAGCCTCCCCAGAAGTTAGTAGTTGCCGTGGTTACGGCGTCCTCTCGAGTCGGTAAAGCCACAATTCGTCACCTCCTTGCCAAGTTCGGCAATAAGGTCCACATTCGCGCAGTGTTTCGCGGGACGAGCAAGACAAAAGAGGATTTCCTTCATGATCTCGTACAACCCGAAGGCACCGGAAACGGCGCGAATGTGAACGACTCTCTTCTGTCGAATTTCGGCAATATCGAGGTCGTCTGCGGTTTCGACGTCGCGGATCCGCTTACACACGCAGCCGCGTTTTCCGGCGTGGATCGCGCGCTGATCATCGCCCCACAGCTAGAAAACCGTCACGAAATCGTCAACTCGGTTCTAACGGCCGGAAAGTCGCACGGCGTGCGACGCGTTGTGCTCATAGGCGGTGTGTTTCAGGAAGAGGAGAGGTTTATCTTCCACCGCCAATGGCAGAGCTCGAGGCGACACGCAGATGAAACCCTCCGCTTGTCCTGGACCCAGCTAGAATGCGGTGATTTCATGGAGAACGTTCTGCGCAGCAAAGAGACGATTTGTAACGAGGATAAAGTGTACGGCGCTGGAGGGAATCCTGGTGCTTGTTCGCTTCCCGTTGCTCTGGATGACATTGGTAAAGCGGCGGCCGTGATTCTAGCGAGCGCTGATGACGTGGCACACGATCGCCGGGCGTATCGAATTGTGGGACCAGATCTGCTGAGTCAGCACGATATTGTGAGAATAATAGGCGAAAAGATCGGCAAGGAGGTGACATTTGTCGATCTGGGATTGGAGGGAGCAATGGAGCGAGCTATCTCTGTAGGCGGCTCGGCCAGGTGGCAGGCTGAGGGATTCCGTGACTGGATGCGCTTATACTACACAACTGGAAGGTTCAAGGAAGTTACGTCTGATCTTCCGCTGCTTGGGATCCAACCTCTGCGATTTGACGAGTGGTTGGGCCAGCACCTGGGAGAACTTTTAGCTAAAAATGACTGTTAAATGGGCAGCAGTTTCTGAAGATGTCATCTGCAAGGTTCTAAGATGTATCTAATCAACCATGAGTACCAGATGCTTGGGTATAACTCATACGGGTAAGTGGTGTAGAAGGAGTTGACAGCGGGGGAGGGAGAGAGAGGGACGGGCGGGGGTGGATGATAATGGGGGAAAAGAGGTTGGGGAGTGAGGAAGGGGTAGGGGGGGGGGGGGGGGGGGTGGGGAGGGTTGGCTTGGGCTTGATGGTAAGGCATTGTAGAGTGGAGGGGGAGAGATAATAGAACCAAGCATTGAATGAGTGTGGGGGTGGGTTCTTTCTGGGAGTGGAAATCGTTATCTATGTGGGTGGGTGGGTGTGTGTTTGGTGGATGTTAGGGATTGAGCATGGGAAAGGGGGTTCAGTTCAGAAAATGTGACAGAGAGTGGAGTGCAACAGGGAGTAGTGAATGGTAATTATAATTGGATTGGCCAGCCACAGTGTACCTGACGTGGTTTCCAGTCTCCAGATGGTAATAGCGTACCGGTACTACATGCATTTTCGGACTAGTCTGGCTCTCATATCCACTACTACACACAAGTCTCGCTACAATTGGACTTCTCTAAAGAGCATGCAATGGATTCAAAACGTTCAAGATGGAATCATGTACCTATTATTTTCATTTGTAAGTTGGTTGGTTGGTTATTTTTTAGAGCCTTCTATATTGGCCGGAGGAACAAAACAGTAAAAAAAAAAATCCATAAAACACCTTCGCCTCACATCCTCTCCTCGCGCCTTCTAGGAGCGTTGGTGATGATGTCATCGACACGCAGGATCATCTCCGCAGCCTCCGTTGCTGACATCAGCACAGCCTGCTTCACCTTGAGAGACTCATAGATTCCACACTCCTCCATATCGCCAGACTGTCACGAGCACACGTGGGAGGAGGGAGAGAGAAAATGGGAGGGAAGGGGAGAGGTGAAGAGAAGTCAAGCGAGACGGAAAGAACACATCGGAAGTGTTGCCGCCCCATGAACACTTCACCGACACAGGCAAGCAATCAGCTAAGGTTCATTGATCAGAAAGGGTTTTTTAGGGGGTGAGCGCAAGCAAGCCCTTCCCTCTCTCACCTGCCCCGTGATAACATCAATGCCGGCACGGCTGTTCTCCTCAGCATGAGCGGCCCTCAGCTGAGCCACCAGCTCTGCACTGTCCAGCCCACGACGAGCAGTCCCTGCCCTTCTCACCTGTCCCGTGATAACATCAATGCTGGCATGGCTGTTCTCTTCGGCATGAGCCGCTCGCAGCTGAGCCACCAGCTCTGCACTGTCGAGGTGAACCACGAGCAATCCTTCCTCTCGTTTGCCCCTCGTATGCACACGCACACACCTGTCCCTATCCCTCTCACCTGCACACCTGTCCCCATGCCTCTCACCTGCCCAGTGATCACGTCAATGCCGGCACGGCTGTTCTCCTCAGCATGCACTGCCCGCAGCCGAGCCACCAGCTCTGCACTGTCAAGGTGAACCACAGGCAGTCTCTCTCTCCCCTCTCTCTTCTCTTTGTCTCTCTCTCTCTCCCTCTCTCTCTTCTCTCCCTCTCTCTCTTCTCTCCCTCTCTCTCTTCTCTCCCTCTCTCTCTTCTCTCCCTCTCTCTCTTCTCTTCCTCTCTGTCCTTCTCACCTGCCCCGTGATCACATCAATGCCAGCATGGCTGTTCTCCTCAGCATGAGCCGCCCGCAGCTGAGCCACCAGCTCTGCACTGTCCAGCCCAGCATTATCAGCAATGATGGTGGGGATGGCACGGAGCGCAGACGCGAACGCCTCCACTGCAAGAGCGCGCTTGCCTGGGGGTATGGGAGGAAAGGGTGGAGAGGAAGGGAGGAAATCCGGGCAGGTTGGGAAGTATGGGCAACCAGCTCTGCCCTCTCATTTCACAACAAGTCAAACTTCGGTCAACAATCAGTCAACTCACCAGGTGTGCGGCGAGCAAGGTCGTCGACTCGCGTGGCCATCATGACTTCCGGCCAACCCCCACCCCACACCACTCTGCTGTCTCTTCAACCGTCAGTCAACAGCCGGTCAGTCAACTGCCAGTCAACAGTCAAGTCAACTCACCAGGTGTGCGGCGAGCAAGGACGTCAACTCGCGTGGCCATCATGACTTCCGGCCAGCCCCCGCCCCACACCACTCTGCTGTCCGCCACCGTCGCTGTCAGCACACACAGGGCGTCATGCAGCGACCTCTCTGCCTCATCCAACACGTGTGAACTGCAAGGGAGAGGGTAGGCCAGGGCAGAAGGTTGGGGAGGGAGAGGAGAGGAAGATTGAGAGGACTGCTTCGTCCAACACGTGAAAACTGTGAGAGGGGAGGGAGGGGAGCAAGATAACTGACTCGTGTTGCCATCAGGCCAGCCCCCGCCCCACACCACTCTGCTGTCAGCCACGGTTGCTGTCAGCACACACAGGGCGTCATGCAGCGACCTCTCAGCTTCATCCAACACGTGTGAACTGCATAAGCAGGGGGGAACGGGGGGTTGGGGGAGGGGGGGAGGACGGGAGTAGGAGGGAAGGCACGGTACGCAACAATATTTCCGTCAGCACAGACGGCACATCCTGGTGAGACCACTCTGCCTTATCCAGCACATGTGAACCCTTGAACCCCAGACTTGAAACCCTAGCCTTTATACCCCGCTCCTAACCCCCACTCTCCCTCACCTGGCCCCGCGCAGCACGATGGTGCACGCCTCGCCCAGCGCCACCCCCGAGAAGTGAATCAGCAAACTACCTGGCTGCCCCCTTCTTTTTTTACCCTTTCAGCCTCCATACCCTAACCCTCAACCCCTCCTCTCCCTCACCTGGCCCCGCGCAGCACGATGGTGCACGCCTCGCCCAGCGCCACCCCCGAGAAGTGAATCAGCAAACTACCTGGCTGCCCCCTTCTTTTTTTACCCTTTCAGCCTCCATACCCTAACCCTCAACCCCTCCTCTCCCTCACCTGGCCCCTCTCAGCACGATGGTGCACGCCTCGCCCAGCGCCACCCCCGAGAAGTGGATCAGGCGGTCCTCCCCAATCATGATCTCCTCGATCACCATGCACTGCCCCAGCTTCACACCAGCAGGGTCCTCAAACGTGCTCGCGATCTCCCCCCCCGTCACCAGCGCCAGCCTCTCAATCCCCTCACTCCCAACCCTCACAAGGTTTCAAATTTCGGACTGTCAAGGGTCAAAATCCCAATCCCAGAACCCTAAACTCTGAACCTGATCCCTCATAGTTTCTCACCTGGCCCCTCGCAGCACGATGGTGCACGCCTCGCCCAGAGCCACCCCCGAGAAGTGGATCAGGCGGTCCTCCCCAATCATGATCTCCTCAATAACCTTGCAGTGCCCCAGCTTCACACCAGCCGGGTCCTCAAACGTGCTCGCAATCTCCCCTCCCGTCACCAGCGCCAGCCTCTCAATCCCCTCACTCACTCTCAACCCTCGCAAGGTTTCATATTCAGGGCTTTCAAACCCCCAATACTAAACCCTAAAACCTGAAACCCGAATCCAAAAAAAATCCTCACCTGGCGCCTCGCAGCACGATGGTGCACGCCTCGCCCAGCGCCACCCCCGAGAAGTGGATCAGGCGGTCCTCCCCAATCATGATCTCCTCGATAACCTTGCAATGCCCCAGCTTCACACCCGCAGGGTCCTCAAACGTGCTCGCAATCTCCCCCCCCGTCACCAGCGCCAGCCTCTCAATCCCCTCGAAGTCCGCGTGCTCTATCGCCATAACCCCCGCGTCCGAAAAAAGCTCCTCCGGGAAGTTGTAAATCAGCTGCCGGTTAATGAAACAGTTGATCCCGTGTGCGATGATCTTCTCGACCTTTTGCCGCATCTTGTTCTTCTCGGCCGCTTCAATCTCTGCGACCTTCGCCATGCCGTCCACGCGCACGCGGGCGCCGTAGATCTTCACCTTGTCCGTGTCCATCGCAGTGTTCGCAACGAGAATCTTGGCGTTTTCAATCCGCTTCGGCTGACCCACACCAATTTTCTTGTCCAGAATGAACCTGGTTTTGGGTGGGAAGGAGGGGACGGGCGGTGGGAGGAAGGGGTGAGGGACGGGAGGAGGGGTTTGAGTTGTCTGGGCATTCGGGTGTTCGTGGATGTGAACCGCCTTGGCCATGCCATCATGCCACCTTTGCCATGCCATCCACGCGCACGCGGGCGCCATAGATCTTCACCTTGTCCGTGTCCATCGCCGTGTTCGCAACAAGAATCTTGGCGTTCTCAATTTTCTTCGGCTGCCCCACCCCTATCTTCTTGTCCAAAATAAACCTGTTTTCAAGTGGGACAAGGGGGTGGAAGGGGAGGTGGAGGAGGGGCGGCAGGGGAGGGGGGGCGTGGGGAATGAGAGGAGGGGTTTGAGTTGTCTGGGGACTAGGGTGCGTGGATATGAGCCACCTTTGCCATGCCATCCACGCGCACGGGGGCGCCGTAGATCTTCACCTTGTCCGTTAAACCCTGAACCCTAAACTTGGTATTGCAAGGGGAGGGAAGAAAGGACGTCGGCTCATTGCTCACTAAACCCCATAACTTTGTAAAACCCTGGAAGAAAAACCTTGAAAACCCTGGAAAACAAAAAAAACCCTTGGAAAGACCTGGCAAACCCTAGAGAAACTCTCTGGAAACCCCTGGACCCCAGATAAATAATTATAAAAGGAGAAGCCCTGGAGAAACCTAGTTCACTCACCCTTCATCGAGGTACGAGTCAGACAAAGCCCCCCCCGCCTTCTTGATGATCTGAATGGCCTCCAGGTTGGTGCTGCCCTTGAGGCGCAGCACTGCATCCACTGCGAGCGAGGCGAAGTGCTCCTTGTCCTGGGACAAAATCTTGGAGCTCAGGGTCGTCTTGGCGATGCGCAGCAAGTCCTCACGGAATTTGGCTGTCATGGGACGGGGTTGGCACGATGAGGAATGCCGTATACATGTGAAAATCTGTGGAAACAAGCTCTTCTACGCCTCTCAACAGAATTGAAGGACTAAAAGAAAACCAGCATCTAGAAACATTGCTCCTGAGCTTCTGGGACCAGCACCGTAAAAAGCTTGACAACACTGGCCTCTTTCCTCAAAATAGAGAATACCTACCAATCATACATAAACAGCTTGACTTACCTGGGTCGTCCTTGTTGTCTCTGCTCTTGCTGATGAGCACCTCCCGGGCACAATCCAGGGCCATGCGGTAACCTGCACGTTACAATGATAATGGGCACGCATCGGAAAATAATTAAAAACAAAAAGATCTGAAGAACCCCCATTCCTTGCCCTACTTCCCACCTGAAATTATGAGCATAGGGTGGGTCCTTGCAGTAACCAGCTTCTTCCCATCGCCCTCCCGCACCAGCTCCCTCACCAAATCCCTACCCCATTCCCCACCCCTCGAGATTATTCATTGAAATCCCTCAAACACCTCCATACTTTGCATTACTCTTCACCTGAAATGATGGTCATCGGGTGGATCCTCGCAGTAACCAGCTTCTCCGCCTCCCTCAGCAATTCCCCTGCCAGCACCACCACTCCACTCGCATTCCTCACCCTACTTCATCACCCTTCTTCCCACCTGAAAGGATGGTCATGGGGTCGATCCTTGCCATAACCAGCTTCTCCTCCAACCCCACCACTCCACTCTCATTCCTCACCCTACTTCATTTGAAACGTCTATCATATTCGCCCTACTACCCACCTGAAATGATGGTCATGGGGTGAATCCTTGCCGTGACCAGCTTCTCCGCCTCCCTCAACAGTTCCCCTGCCAGCACCACCACCGAAGTCGTGCCGTCGCCCACCTCGTCGTCCTGCACCTTGGAGATGTCTGGAGATGTTAATAACGGGGATAGAAGGGGATAAAGAACGGTTCAGTGCGGTAACCAGCTTCTCCGCCTCCCTCAGCAATTCCCCTGCCAGCACCACCACTGACGTCGTGCCGTCGCCCACCTCGTCGTCCTGCACCTTGGAGATGTCTGGAGATGTTAATAACCGGGATAAGAAAACAAAAAAACACAACGAAACATCAGTCGTAAGATGGAAGGTTGGTTTAAATGATAGTAGGTGTCAGCCGGGAGCTGAGTACCTGAAGCACGCATGGGTTAAGTCCTTTCATTGTGGAAGCACAAGTGGCACTATGGTAACACCATAACGCTGATGTGTTTTGAGTTGGCTCAAAGCACGCATGGGTAAAGTCCGTTCATTGTGGAAGCACAAGTGGCACTGTGGTAACACCATAGCGCTGACCAACGAGGCAGGCTTAGAAACTGACCAGAGAAGCTGGTAGGCCAAGTGACAATACAAGGCAGGTTGGGTAACACAGTAACACTTACAGACAAGGAATTTGCCTGCGAAGCCAATACAAGGTAGGGTGGATTAACAATGAGGTGGTAACACTGTAACACTGACCAACGAGGACTTTGGCTGCAGGGTTGTCGATGTGTAGTGCCTTGAGAATGGTCGCTCCATCGTTGGTCACCATCAGCCCACCGCCACGGCTGGTGGACTGCAGAATCTTGTCCTGTAGTGCAAAAAAGGCGACAAGAATCTCGGAAATTCAAAACAAATGTTTGGAAATGACATCACAGACACATATGATTCGCATGGCATCACAACACCTATCCCAACTACTGGAAGCGCATCACAGCACACACACACCACTGCCTTGGTAAGCCGACAAAAACCATGACCGTTTTGGCCAAAAGGAACGCGGCCATCCGCCCCTGCATTCGATTCTTCTTTTCGCATGTGAAAACATATCTCCTGATTTGACCCACTCTCCACTCGCTCTAATCCCCTGGGTCCCTGTAAGTCAAATCGAGCGAAATACCCTGGTTGCTCAGACCCTTCGGTTGTTCTGGTTCCCTGGATCGCTCTAATACCCCGGCCGAATCCGCTACCCTCGTCTGCTGTGGCGTCTCAAAAGTCTTCGCTCCAATACCCCGGCCGAATCCGCCACGTTCGTCGGCCCGCCTGGTCAAATCAATTAAATACCCTTGTCAAGAGAAATCTTTCTCCCCGATCGCTCTATTCCCTGCCCAACGGAATCCAATCGCCTGGCCGCTCTAATCCCCTCGTCGAATCGGATCTATTCCTCTGGTTTTATCATCTCTATATTCCCCTGGTCGAGCCAATCCCTAGGTAGTTCTCACCATTCCTTTGGGTCCGAGAGTCGACTTGACGAGATCCGAGATGGCCATGGCGCCCACAAAAGACGACTGATGAAAGGGAAATGGGAGAGGGGGGGAAGGGAAGGGGAGAGGGGGGGAAGGGAAGGGGAGAGGGGGGGAAGGGAAGGGGAAAGGGAGGGAAGGATGGGGGAAAGGACCGAGAGTCGGCTTGACGAGATCTGAGATGGCCATGGCACCCACGAACGACGACTGATGGAATCACCGAGTGAACGGCAGACGGGATAAGGGGGAGATACGAGGGGGAAGGGGACAGGGAACAAGGAGAGGGAAGGAAGGAGGGGGGGGGGGAGGAGGGGGGGGAAGAACCCAGAGAGACGATTTAATGAAATCTAGGATGACCACAATTGGAAGGAGCAACGACGGATGAACACACGGAGACGAGATGGACGAGAAGGAAGGAAGAGAAGGAGTGGTATGAACAGGGGACAGGGGACGGGGCACAGGACCGAGAGAGTTGCGGCGTCGAGATACGACATGGATACAGCTGTAACAAGCAACGACTGATGGGATCGCGGGGAAAAGAGGACGAATGCATTGTTACTTCCCAAAAAAAAACTTTCAAAAACTAGGGGAGGGGGACAGGGAGGGCAGAAGTAATCGAAGGGGTCTGGGGTAGGGAAGGGGAGGGGGGAGTGGGAGGGGGCTCGGAAAATACCAATGAATGCACGGACAGGGGAGGAGACAGTCGAAGGAACGTGGACCGGGGGATGGGGATGACGACTAGAGAGGCTAAAGTGGTGGACTTCAACGCTGTTGAAACGACGGTTAGGCCAATCGTTCCATAAACGGATCGAGAAAAAGAGGACCGGGGAATGCGATGAGAGTTAACGAAGGACGACAAGTCGAGTTCAGCAATGCTTAACGACGACCGCAGATCGTCCCAAACAACGGATCGGCTTTCATATATCAGTCTAAGGTTAGATGGATCGATTTGCATTGGTCATTCGAGGAAATCAGCAACGTACCAGACGCGCGCGTTCGCCTTTCTCCTCCGTCGCGGCTTCATTGAAAAGCCGATCACCCTGAACAAAGCAGAACGAGCGGGAAAATGATTCAGCACATAGGTAATGAAATACTATCCTGCGCGTGCTGTTGAACCGTAAGATCGACGGAATCCGACAAATCTAAGCGAATCCGCACCCCGGGCATGCGACCGTCTCCCATTCCTGAGACTGCCATGACTGAAGCTTGAAAGCAACGGCGGGGTTGCAAGTCGAGCAATCAACGAAATGGAACCTATCAGTCGAGATTAGGGCGGACGCCTTAGGACTGGACAGGTCAGATCAGATGCCGTTTCGTTGCTGTGACGAACAACCCGAATCTGGCCGAGAATGGCGAAAGAACTGGAATCTATCAAGTTTGAGCTGTGTTCACTGAGGAGAGGAAGCAGATCTCACAGTCACACAGATCCCTTCGTTTCATTCAAGATAGAGAAGACGTAAAAGTGGTGAAGGTATAGAAGGTACACTGAATTACCTCCTTTCAGATCTGCTTCGTTAACATATCAATAAGCTACAGCCTTCTCATCTACTAATCAGTGTTAAACACAAGCTTCAAATGTCCGCACCTTCACTGTGGTCCACGTCAGCCTATACCGTCACGCAAATCTACGTGAGATCTCTTGGCACGGGTTCGTCCACGCTAGCCCAGCTCAATTGGTTGACAGAATTCAGATATTCCAGGCCTCGCAATCAGGCTCGACATGCCACACATACCCTGCACATTCCCCTCATTTCCAAACCAGCGTATGGCTCCCTCGCCTTTCGAAACGCTCCGAGCCTCAGGTGTTGGGAATCCCAAGGTTGCCCATTTCCCTCTCCCTTGTTTCCACCAGTTCATGCATCAATGTTCAGGCAGGTAAGTAGCGGTTTGAAGCGGTGTAACATATAAACCGAACCCGAACGTACAGCATCTGACTCAGCCGTTTCTCCCGACGAGGGAACAGGATTTCGGACAAATCCATTCTAGCACGAATGTCTATTTCCCCCTCGACCAGAGAAGGCTTGGCATTTCGCCTCATTCCTTCACAAGTTTCGGAACCAGCAAGCAGCCACCGAGCCGCAATGGCCGCCATTCACGCCTCGGCAGCAGCTCGCCTTGTGACGTCGTCGCCATCGGCAATCGTCGCAGCGAGTAGTCGATCAGAAAGCGGGTCATTGTCCCGTTCAGCGTTCTTTACTGGTTCTTCGCGTTCCTTGGTTCTCTCCGCTGAGGTAATCCCCACCCACGCGCTCGTTCATACCCTTCGTGGGAAATTCCCCATCCGCTCATGCTCCTATCGCGAGATATTTCCGAGAATGATCAAGAAACATTGTCACCTAGGTGATTCTCACCCGCTCACTTGCCTGTCGTTGCATTCGTCGCATCATCTCTCGTTACGCCTGTCGTTGCGTTCGTCGCATCTCTCGCTACGCATGTCGCGTTCGTCGCATCCCTCGCCATGTGTACCTCGCAAGAAGTTGTTCATTCATTTTCCGCCCACACATCCTCCCGCCGTAAAATTAACTGGCAAACCATTCATTCTTCCATCATCGTGTCACTCCACGATGGACCCTTCAACATCAGCATAAGCTCGCCTACAGTAATATCAACTCACAAATGAACAATCTTACATTAGTTTCAGCACACAAATGGGCAATGTTATCACTCCCCAATCCTCAACCTCACCCGAATTTCTGCCTTCACGCACTATCGTCACTATACAGGGACATTGCATTCCTTCTTGCATCCACACATCACCCGCTGTCGTCCAGACGCCTCCTCTTCTCTCTCTCGTGCCTCGTTCTCATCCCTTTCACAAGCGCGACATGGAATTGTTGCCTCTGCTTTACCTCTCAATGACACATGGAAGCGTTCTCTCTCTACCTCTGAAGAGTCACGGATCCCTCTATGCTGCTTCCCCGGCGTCCATCCTCACTTCCCCAGCCTTCCTTTTCTGACAGAGCCACGGACCCCTCTCCTCTTCACGCCCAGCGGCCATTTTCTCTCTCAACCTTTTCCCCTGCCGTTTCCCTCTCTCCCTCTCCTTTTCTCCCGGTTTTGTTTCCTGTATCCTTCATCCTCCTTTGCAGAGTCCCATTTCTGCGGCCCGTCCAGCAAGCACCTCCTCTCAGCCCGCCTCGTTCGGTTTGGCGCCTTGCAATGCTCGCCGCTTGACCGTGTCAGCGCAAGCTGCGGGCTCAGATGCAGCAAAGGTGAGTGGGGGTCGATGCATGGCGTCACAATTAAGCTGAGCTGAGCAATTTGTGCACGTTCATGATTATTATTTTCCGTTTTTTCCCCTCGTGCTCTCCTTGCTATGACAACGAACGCCCATTTTTCTCGCATCCGCTGCCCCGTCCTCCACCTTCCAATGTTTCTGGAACCATGAATGCTAGTGCTTGTTGCATTGCATGACCATTAAGCTCAGTGATTGTTGCATGGCCTTCAGGTGGTGTTGTGTTTTGTTTCTGGCCGCCCCTTCAGGTCGGCCCAGTGGCAGTGGTCGGAGGCACTGGATTCGTTGGCTCTGCACTCGTTAAAGCTCTCCTTGCAGGTGCTTATAACGTGGATAATCATGGACGGTTTGGTAGCTCAGATTGCAACATGTGTTCCATTAATGCTGTTCGCATTCATACCAGTCCCATATCCCAATCGTAGTGGACACTCTCATCTCTTTTCTCTCGGCCATGCACGCAATGGGTAGCCTGGAGAACAGTGTGTGCTTACTGATGCCTTGCTCCGTGTTTCCCTCATCCCTCTTTCCCCCTCCCTCCCCCATTTCTGGTGGCAGAGGGCGAGCAAGTGAAAGTGCTCACGTGCTCAGTGGATCGGGCCAAGGAGGTCACTCGTCCATTACTTACTGCCATTCTCCATTCTCATCCCAACCCATCCCAACCGCTGGACACTCTCCCCACTCCTCTTGAATCGCCCACCCTCCCCCCCGCTTTCTATTGCAGAGGGCGAGCAAGTGAAAGTTCTGACGCGCTCAGTGGATCGCGCCAAGGAGGTCTTTGCAGGTGAGGAGGACGGGCAGGTATTTGAAGGTGTTTAAGTGTTTGAGGGTATTGAAAGTATTTGTTGGTAGACAGGTAGTTGCAGTAAGAGGTAAGCAGGTGTTCGCAGGTGTTCGCTGGTGCCTTTCCTCTATGCCAATCCCCCTTCCTTCTCATCCCTCTTTTCCCTCCGTGCTTGCTCCTCCTCTCTACCCTTCCCACTATCCCAGGCACGGACGGAGTGGAACTGGTGGGACCGGAGGGCTGGGCAGCAGCCGTGGCGGGCAGTGGGTCGGTTGTGAATCTGGCGGGCACACCCATCAGCACCCGATGGAGCCCTGCGGTGGGTTGTGAGAGGGGGAAGGGAGAGGGCTTGGAGTACAAGGTGTAGGGTGTGCATACATGGGCCATCAGGCAGCAGCCGTGGCAGGCAGTGGGTCGGTGGTGAACCTGGCCGGGACTCCCATCAGCACCCGGTGGAGCCCTGCGGTGGGTTGCAGGGAGAGGGAGAGGTCTCGGGGTATAAGGTGTAGGGTGTACCTGCGCCATCAGAGCAGCGGTGGCAGGCAGTGGGTCGGTGGTGAACCTGGCTGGCACACCCATCAGCACCTGGTGGAGCCCCGCGGTGGGTTGGTTGGTGGGAGGGGGCCTTAGGTATAAGGTCTAGGGAGTACATACATGGGCCATCAGGCAGCAGCAGTGGCAGGCAGTGGGTCGGTGGTGAACCTGGCTGGCACACCCATCAGCACCCGATGGAGCCCTGCGGTGGGTTGGTGGGAGGGAGATTTGTGTATAAGGTTGAGGGATTATTGGTGCCATCAGGCAGCAGCAGTGGCAGGCAGTGGGTCGGTGGTGAACCTGGCCGGCACGCCCATCAGCACTCGATGGAGCCCTGCGGTGGGTTGGTGGGTGGGAGAGGCCTTGTAACTCAAGGCCTAGGGTGTATATGGGCCACAAGGGGGATTTGTAGGCAGTGGGTCGGTGGTGAATCTGGCCGGCACACCCATCAGGGCAAGGTGCCATCAGGGCAAGGTGCCATCAGGGCAAGGTGCCATCAGGGCAAGGTGCCATCAGGGCAAGGTGCCATCAGGGCAAGGTGCCATCAGGGCAAGGTGCCATCAGGGCTAGGTGCCATCAGGGGAAGGTGCCATCAGGGCAAGGTGCCATCAGGGCAAGGTGCCATCAGGGCAAGGTGCCATCAGGGCAAGGTGCCATCAGGGCAAGGTGCCATCAGGGCAAGGTGCCATCAGGGCAAGGTGCCATCAGGGCAAGGTGCCATCAGGGCAAGGTGCCATCAGGACAAGGTGCCATCAGGGCAAGGTGCCATCAGGGCAAGGTGCCATCAGGGATTCAGGGGAAGCTGCCATCAGGGCAAGTTGACATTATGAGAATGTGGGGAATGTGCCGCTCTTAACCCTTGATGATTGTGGGAAATTGAAAAGACAAAATACAAAATACTCCTACTCCCCCTCAACATCCCCCACTTCCTTCCCTTCCCCTCCATCCTTAGTTCCTCTTGCTGCTTCAGATCAAGGCTGAAATCATTTCCAGCCAAGTGGACACGACTGCTAAGATCATAGAGACAATCGACTCTCTTACCCACCCGTCATCCTACCCCCTCCCGCCCCTATCCTTCATCTGTTTCTGCTTCTTCAGATCAAGGCTGAGATCATTTCCAGCCGAGTGGACACGACTGCTAATATCGTCGAGGCAATTAACTCACTCAAGTACTCTCTCTCTCCACCTACCCTCCCCCTTTCCCCGTTGTTTGTTTTTCTGATTCAGATCAAGGCTGAGATCATATCCAGCCGAGTGGACACGACTGCTAAGATCGTAGAGGCAATTAACTCGCTGCCAAAGGACAAGCGCCCCTCTGTTTTAGTCAGCACATCGGCGGTTGGTTTTTATGGTGAGAGGAAGGAGAGAGGGGTTAACTGGGGCAATAGAGACGGCTGCTAGATTATAGACGCAATTAACTCACTCTACGTGGACAAGCGCCCCTTTATTCTGGTCAGCACCTCGGCTGTGGGCTTCTATGGTGTGTGGTTGGTGAGAGGGGAAAGGAAAAGGGTAGGGAAGTGGGAGTGGGGTGCAATTAAGTCTTTACCACAGGACAAGCGCCCCTCTGTTATAATCAACAGCCTTGTCCTGTTGTGGTCACAGCCTTGTCCTGTTATGGTCAACAGCCTTGTCCTGTTATGGTCAACAGCCTTGTCCTGTTATGGTCAACAGCCTTGTCCTGTTATGGTCAACACCCTTGTCCTGTTATGGTCAACAGCCTTGTCCTGTTATGGTCAACAGCCTTGTCCTGTTATGGTCAACAGCCTTGTCCTGTTATGGTCAACACCCTTGTCCTGTGATGGTCAACAGCCTTGTCCTGTTATGGTCAACAGCCTTGTCCTGTTATGGTCAACAGCCTTGTCCTGTTATGGTCAACACCCTTGTCCTGTTATGGTCAACAGCCTTGTCCTGTTATGGTCAACAGCCTTGTCCTGTTATGGTCAACACCTTTGCCCTATTATGGTCAACACCTTGGCCGTTGCCTTTATGATGCGTGGCTGGTGCGTGATGGGTTGGTGCGTGGGAGAAGGGGGATATTTGGGAGAAGGGGGATGTTTGGGAGAAGGGGGATATTTGGGAGAAGGGGGATGTTTGGGAGAAGGGGGATGTTTGGGAGAAGGGGGATGTTTGGGAGAAGGGGGATGTTTGGGAGAAGGGGGGTGTTTGGGAGAAGGGGGATGTTTGGGAGAAGGGGGATGTTTGGGAGAAGGGGGATGTTTGGGAGAAGGGGGATGTTTGGGAGAAGGGGGATGTTTGGGAGAAGGGGGATGTTTGGGAGAAGGGGGATGTTTGGGAGAAGGGGGATGTTTGGGAGAAGGGGGATGTTTGGGAGAAGGGGGATGTTTGGGAGAAGGGGGATGTTTGGGAGAAGGGGGATGTTTGGGAGAAGGGGGATGTTTGGGAGAAGGGGGATGTTTGGGAGAAGGGGGATGTTTGGGAGAAGGGGGATGTTTGGGGTGACTGGATGTGGGGAAGCGAGAGACTACTTTTAAGATATCTGCAAATTGCCCGCATCTCTGTGTGTTCTCGTGTTCTCTTGTTTGTTATCTTGTGTGTTTCAGGAACTAGTGAGACAGCCACGTTTGATGAGAGCAGCCCGGCTGGAAACGATTTCCTGGCAGAGGTGAGTTGCTCTTGAAACTAATGTTTTGTTCATGTCCCGCAAATTAAATCTCCGCACAAGCAGGTTGCATGCAAGCAAGCAACCCTCTTCGTCCTCTTTCTTCCCCCTTTCCGTCTTCTCCCCAACCCCCTTCTCCCCGCTTCCCTCCTCTCCTCCATCCCACCAGGTGTGCACCAAGTGGGAGGCAGAGGCACAGAAGGTCTCTCCACATGTAATCTCCCTTCCGTTCTCTCTTGATATCTCAACTTGCCCTTCCCCTCTTCTCTCCTAACCAAACCAACCCCCTCCCGCCAGGTGTGCACCAAGTGGGAGGCAGAGGCACAGAAGGTCTCTCCCGACTCGACTCGCCTCGCCATAATCCGCTTTGGAGTTGTGCTGGACAAGGGAGGGGGAGCTTTGGGCAAGATGCTGCCTATTTTCCAGCTCTTTGCTGGGGGGCCTCTAGGCACGGGACAGCAGTGGTAAGAGCCTTTTGATGTGTTATGGGTTGGGGAATGTTGCTGTGGTGTTGTGCTGGACAAGGGAGGGGGAGCTTTGGGCAAGATGCTGCCCATTTTCCAGCTCTTTGGAGGGGGTCCGCTTGGGACTGGACAGCAGTGGTATGTGAATGAATCCTATGATGTGTTACGGGTCGGGAAATGTTGTGCTGGACAAGGTGGGGTGGGCGCTGGGCAAGGGGTGGTGTTGTGCTGGGCAAGGGGTGGTGTTGTGCTGGGCAAGGGGTGGTGTTGTGCTGGACAAGGGGTGGTGTTGTGCTGGACAAGGGGTGGTGTTGTGCTGGGCAAGGGGTGGTGTTGTGCTGGACAAGGGGTGGTGTTGTGCTGGACAAGGGGTGGTGTTGTGCTGGGCAAGGGGTGGTGTTGTGCTGGGCAAGGGGGGGTGGGCGCTGGGCAAGATACTGCCCATCTTCCAGCTCTATGTGGGGGGACTGCTAGGCACAGGGCAGCAGTGGTGGGTGAATTCTCACAATGTGTGGTGAATGTTGGGGAATGTTGCACTGCTGTTGTGCTGGACAAGGGGGGGTGGGCGCTGGGCAAGATACTGCCCATCTTCCAGTTCTATGTGGGGGGACTGCTAGCTAGGCACAGGGCAGCAATTGTACGTCCCCAATGTTACCTTAACCATTTCCCGGCTCCCGTGTCCCCTTCTTATGTTTTTTTAGAGTTCTCAAAAAGCATACGCTGCAGCAATGGTACGTCCCCAGTGTTACCTTAACCATTTCCCGGCTCCCGTGTCCCTTTCCCCCAACAACCACATCAGGATGTCATGTCGTGGCCAACCCTCTAATACCCATGACCCACCACCCACGACCCACGTCCACCACCCATGGCCTACTGACCCATTACCCATACCCCCCTCCCCATCCCTCATCCCACACCACCCATCAGGATGTCGTGGGTACACAGGGACGACCTTGTTGCTCTCATGACCATGCCCGGCTTGCTTCCACCAACCCGCACCACTGCCTATATTACCCACACCCCCTCTCCCCCTTTTCCCCACCCCTCATCCCCACCACCCATCAGGATGTCGTGGGTGCACAGGGACGACCTAGTCGCTCTCATCATTGAAACCCTGCGCAACAAGGAGTTCAAAGGGGTGCTGAACGGTACCGCGCCCAGCCCAGCCCGCATGGCGCAGTTCTGTGAGGCGCTGGGGTCTGCCATCGGCCGGCCCTCGTGGCTGCCCGTTCCTAACTTCGCCGTCCAGACGCTGCTGGGAGAGGGAGCGATGGTGGTGAGTGTCTTGGGGGGGGTGGGCAGTATGGTCTCTTGGGGGGGGTGGGCAGTATGGTAGTAGGTGTTTTTAGAGGAGGGAGCCATCGGCCGGCCCTCGTGGCTGCCCGTCCCCAACTTCGCTGTTCAGACACTGCTGGGGGAGGGTGCCATGGTGGTGAGTGCTTATGGGGGAGGGCGGGAAGGGAGGAATCGTGGTAGGGTGTGCTTCTAGAAGTTCGCTGGGTTCTGCCATCGGCCGGCCCTCGTGGCTGCCCGTTCCTAACTTTGCCGTGCAGACACTCCTGGGGGAGGGAGCGATGGTGGTGAGTGCTGGTTCTGGGGTGTGGCGGGGTGTGACACTCCTAGCCTGTGAGGCGCTGGGGTCGGCCATCGGCCGGCCCTCGTGGCTGCCCGTTCCCAACTTCGCCGTGCAGACGCTGCTAGGGGAGGGAGCCATGGCGGTGAGTGCTGGTTCTGGGTGGGGGATGTGGTGGTGTGGTGGGTGTATCTAGGAGGGGGTGATGAGTGTTTATGGGGAAGGGTGGTTCTTGGGGAGCCATGGTGGTGGGTGCTTCTAGAAGAGGGGGTCATGGCAGTGGGGAAGGAGCAATAGTGGTGGTTTGTGCTTCTAGGGCAGGAACCTTACCGTCTTCTCTTCTCCCTCCCTCCGTTGTTTCTTTCAGGTGCTGGACGGGCAGCGGGTGCTGCCCAAGTGTACGGAGAGCCTCTGGTTGTCTGATGTGCTGTGTGAGTTGACTCAGAAGTCTGACCCCCTCTCTTTCTCCTCGCCTCTCTTCTTTCTTGCAGGTGCTGGACGGGCAGCGAGTGTTGCCCAAGCGTACAGAGAGCCTTGGGTTCCGCTACAAGTACAGGAACATCCAAAACGCCCTCGCTGCCATCTTCTCTTCAAGCTGATCCGTTTTTGTGCTAGAAGAAGCCCATCAATACAGAAGTGTACAATTTTATTTTGTAAAACAGAAACCCTCAGGTTTTCCAGTGCTATAATGACCAAGAGATTACACATGCTGTGCCAGTTTAGAGGGGTTAGAGATTACACAGAAACCCTAAACTCACTAGTTACTGTAGGCGCTTTGCATGCCAGTTTAGAGGGGTTAGAGACAGCCCCTCTAAAGCAGAGTCAGTGGATATTGCCAGTTTCATAACGGGGTGCAGTTTTTCATGGATTAATTCATTTTTGAAGGTGAAGACCAAGTGTTGATGACTGACTGATACATTGTTGGCTGTGTCAATCTACCAGGGTTCAATGTCCCATCCATCATCAAGACAAGAATGCGCTTATTACTACTTGGTAACTCGTAATTATGAGCATGGGTGTATAATATGTAACTGGAAAGCTCTCTTCACAAGACAATTAAGGCCATTTCCGCTTCTGCTGAGCTGCACCTGCCAAGAGTCCTCAGGCGTTACTTCATCTTCCTACTCCTTCCCCCTCTCCTCCCCCCTTTCCTTTCCCCCTGCTCTGCTTACACCAGCTCAATGAAGCACATGGGAGCATTATCCCCCCGTCGCGGCATCGTCCTGATAATCCTCGTGTACCCTCCCTCCCTCTCCGCATACCTCTCCGGAGCATCCGAGAAAATCGCGTGCACCAGCGTCTTATCGTATACAAACCCTAGCGCCTGCCTCCTCTCGTGCAGACTGCCTCCCTTGGCGAGCGTGATCATATGGTCCACGAATTTGCGCATGGCTTTCGCGCGCGCGGCCGTGGTTTTGATTCTGCCGTGGCGGAGGAGTTCGGTGGTGAGTCCGCGCAGGAGGGCTTTGCGCTGGTCCGCGGGCCGGCCCAGCCGCGCGATCCGACGGCCGTGGCGCATCGCGAAGACGCGCGAGCCGTTGGATGGGAGGACGGAGGAGAGGGTGGAGAGGTCTGCAGAGAGGAGACAGGGCGATGGGAGGGGGCGAGGGGAGGGGAGGAGCCGTGGGGGGAGGAGAATGGAGGGGAGGCATGAAGATAGATGTACGAAGCATGGGGAAGAATGGAGGGGAATGGGGGGGAATGAGTGAGGAAAAGGGATAACGGGGGGGGAAATGGGAGGGAATAATGGGGATAAAAGGAGAATCGGGGGGGAATTCAGATGGTTTGAGTAAGGGAGGTGAAGGTGCCCCAGAGGGAGGCTTCTGAAGGGCAAGGAAGGGTGAGAAGAAGGAGAAGAGGGTGGGGGGGGGGATAGAGTCATGGTATGGGTTAGATTCAGATCAAAGACTTCAGCCTTTCCAAAAGGCCGTGTCCCAAGCTTTCGCTTTTTCCTCCACACCCTGCTCAACCGCTGGAGCGTCACAACGCAAAGCACCTCACTACACCGTATTCAAACGAGGCGTTTGAAACTCGTTCCGATAGACAGGGAAAAAGAGGAAGAGGAGGAAGGGAAGCGAGAAAAGGGAGAGGATAGAAAGAGGAGGGAGGTCAGGGAAGGATAAGGAAGACAGACAGAGAAGCTAGGTCGATTGAAAATGAAAAGCAGGAGTAAGGGGAACAGGGCGAGCGGAGGGGGGAGAGGGGGGTCGGAAGGGAGGGGGGAGGGGAGCGTGAAGGAGGGACGCTGTAAGGCCGACCTAACTGGTAGCTCGTGAGGTGTGCTGCTACGAGTTTAGCAGCTGAAGATACGCCCCTGCAGTTCCTAATTTCGTCTCAATATTGCAATACGATTTTTCCTGTGACCCTATCCTTTTCGACACATGTCCGCATGCTGCCAAAGCAGTTTCCCCGTGCTTGTACCCAAGCGAGCACTTGACATACCGTGTGCCTACTACCATGGATTTCCCGCGCTACTGTAACGCAATGCAGTGTTTGAGGCGCCTCAAAACCACTTTTCCCGTGCAGACCTACCATGTGCCTACTACCCCTGCGTTTCCCGCGCTCCTGTATCGCAATGCAGTTTCTTTGTGTCCTAACGGATCCTTAGGTGAATCAGCAGACCATTTGTCAAGAAGCCGAAAATTCCTACCAGTATATTGAAAAAACGAGGCACCAGCTTACCTGTGTAACCCTATCTGATCCCTTACGCCCATCCGACTTCTGAGGCGTCTAGGCTCGTGCGTTCCTATCCTCACGCTCGCCGATCGATCGTTGAGGCACCTCAAAACCGTCTCAACTCCCTACCTTCAGGCTGGCCAATCACCGCTATCTCGAGAGCTGCCTGGCCGTTATTTCAGTCCTTACGGAGAGACAGCAGCGTTCGTATACTTAGGTCGCGTAAAAAAACACAAGTGTGTATTCTTCTAGCCAGAACGTAAATGACGGCCGGCTGACGAGCTACCGGTAATGCGGACACGCATTGAGAGAGATTAGCAAACGGCAGCGGCAGTCCGTACTTGTGTTTCTGCGTCTCCCAACGGAAATGGTGAAGTTAGCAGTTTCTCGTGTGTCTCCACAACCCTAAACTACCGATTTCTGAGACTCCTCAGAAAGATTCTTCGTTCATTCCGATGAAACCGTTATCGCAGCGGGGTGTCTCTGTAACCCTAAACTTGAGGTGAACAGAAGCAGCCACTCTTGACTGCTTCGAAACATAACCCTAACCGATCTTGACCGCTTGTAACCCTACCGGAAGACTGGCTGATGAGGCTATCGCGACGGAGGCCGTTGAACGACGCGGAGAGGCGCGACGACGACGCGCCCATGGCGGCAGCTGCGGACACGACGGGCTTGCGCGCGGGCGAAGCGACCGCGGACTGCGAGAGAGACACGCGCGGGAGCGCGCATTGGAGCGACGCCATCGAGAATGCCGCCATTGTTAGCTGCCTGATGCTAATTCAAGAGATAAGGAGTTGCAGTCAGCAGAAACAGGCACCCCAGGCCACTGTTTCAGGTAACCTCCACGCACTGGATTTCACTACCAAGTTAGTGACAGGAGGAAAGGTATAGCAGATATGAAGAGAGGAAGGAGTGAACGCCGGGGAACAAGCACTAGGAGCAAGTACGGGAGGAAGGGTTCGGTGGGTGAGTGTGAAAACATTAACTAGGTGCTGTGCGTTCTAGAGCGACTTTGTAATATATTTACGCGGTTTATTGAGGTTCCAAGAGAGAACAAACTCGTGTGACAATCGCTAATGTGCTGATCCTAATAAGTTCGGTATAGTTAGATTTAGTCGGGTTCGATCTGTTCACGTTCGGTTCAGCCGGATTCGTCTATTTTGGAGAGCCAGCCGAAACAGCACAAGGAACACTGCAAATCAATGCAAGGCTAGGCGCGCGGAGATGGGTCGGACTTCGGCGGAGGTTAGATGGGCGCGTAGAGAAAACTGGCGGTGCCCGCCGTTCGGGGGACCCAGGCGCGGAATTTTCTGAGCCAGGATTTCTGACGTGGAGTTGGAGCTGACTGGACTGGATGAGGTGGGGACCAGTAAGGTCCTGATTGGCAGAGCATGGCGCACAATGAAAGTTCCACGTCGAGTGAAGCTTTTTGGACATTGCTCTCCTCCATCAAGCTGAGAGATCATGACATCTATGACATGCACTAATATCGTAGTCAAGTATTGTTAGCTTCGTTAATTTCCATTAAATTTCAATCTATCTTATACTGAAGTTCGGGTTGAACATCTAACCCCAATCTAGTCTTCCAGGTTCCATGAAGTTCAGCAGCTTTTTTAGTAGCTAAGTGACGACCATTGACCAGCACATTCTGACTGAACCATACAAAGAGATTATGAAACCCCAAGTACAGATTTGATCCTCGCCTAATATACTGCATATAGCCACTGTATATCCACCCAACCCCCTCTCCACATTTAACGCTTGGAGAACTGGGGAGCCTTGCGGGCCTTCTTGAGCCCGTACTTTTTGCGCTCTACTGCACGGGCATCGCGAGTGAGCATGCCCTGGGCCTTGAGGGGCGGGCGGTTGGCAGCGCTGGCAGCAACAAGAGCGCGGGCGATTCCCAGAACCATGGCCTGCGCCTGTGCGTTGAGGCCCCCTCCGTGCGCCTTCACCACCACATCGTACTTGCCCTCATAGCCCAGCGACGAGAGAGGCAGCTTCACCGCCTGGAAGGGAGGGTGATGGAAACATGGTGGAAAACAGATGCATGAAGTCAACGGGCATAGCCACCCCTTCGTGCGCCTTCACCACCACATCGTACTTGCCCTCATAGCCCAGCGATGAGAGAGGCAGCTTGACAGCCTGGTGTGGGGGATGTGGGGAGAGATGGTGGAAAAACAAACAGACGGGAAAAAGAGATGGTACAGGCTTCCTGAAATGTGCCTTCACCCCCACATCGTACTTGCCCTCGTAGCCCAGCGTGGACAGACAGCCTGATATGGATAATCGGGGGAGGGTAGGGGAGAGATGGCGGATAGGTGATGGAGAAGGTACAGATAAAAGCAAGAGATTGCATCGTCACGTCACCCCTCCATGTGCCTTTACCACCATGTCGCACTTGCCTTCGTAACCAGCAATCAGAGAGGCAGCTTCAAGGTGGAGAAGGTGGGGAACTTGATAAGGTATCTGGGAAAAGGTGGGGAAGAGAATGAGAAGGTGGGGAATCAGCACACGGCCTTTCCTCTCCATGCGCCTTCACCATTACTACGTCGTACCGGCCCTTGTAGCCCAGCAAGGTGACTTTTGAGTCGACTCAAAATTCACCACTACTACATCGTACTGGCCCTTGTAGCCCAGCAATCAAAGAGGCAGCTTGACCGCCTGATATGGCTGCTTGGGGGGAAGATGGTGGAAGAAAATGAGACGGCATACGGCCTTTCCCATCCGTGCGTTTTCAATACGGTACCCCGTCGGACTTATCCTCGTAGCCCAGCAAGGACAGAGGCAGCTTCACTACCTGGTGCGGGTGGTCCTCTACCTGCTCCTTGGTGACTTTTGAGTCGACTCAAAAGTCACCTGGTGCGGGTGGTCCTCTACCTGCTCCCTGCTCCTTGGTGACTTTTGAGTCGACTCAAAAGTCACCTGGTGCGGGTGGTCCTCTACCTGCTCCCTGCTCCTCTCACCCTTCACACCCTCACCCTTCACACCGTCTCTCTTTGGTGGTTCAGGAGCTGCTGCCATTCCCATGCCCTCCTAAACCGTGGTTTCCCCCCGGACCACCATTTCTCCCCAGACCATCATTTCACCCAAGACCGTGAATGTCATCCCCCGTCAGACCATCATTCTCCATTGACCGCCATTCCCCCCTTGACCGCCATTCTCCCCTTGACCGCCATTCTCCCCTTCCGTCATTCCCCCCTTGACCGCCATTCTCCCCTTGACCGTCATTCCCCCCTTGACCGCCATTCCCCCCTTGACCGCCATTCCCCCCTTGACCGCCATTCCCCCCTTGACCACCATTCCCCCCTTGACCGCCATTCCCCACTAGATCCTCAATCCCCCCCAGACCATCAAACCCCCCAAACCGACAATTCCCCCTTTCCAGGGCATTCCTTCCCGCTCTACCCCGTCGATTTTCCTTCCCGCGGTTCCTACCTGGATCATGAGCGCCTGGTTCTGGAAATATTCGTTCAGGGGCAGCCCGTTCACGAAAATTTCCCCGTTGCCCTCGATGAGCCCCACGCGCGCCACGGCCGTCTTTCTCCTGCCCGTGCCGTGGATCCGGAACGCCGCGAATGGCGGGTACCGCCGGCTGGACGCGTCCACGTCATCGTCGAGCGCTAACGACGCGGCGACGGCGGGGGCTGCGGCGGAGATCGCGGCGGCGGCGGCGGCGGGCGGCGCGGCTGACGCGACCGCGGCGCGGCGGCGGATGGAGGGTGCCGCGGCGACGAGAGGCGAGGAGAGTGTGAGAGCACGGCCGTCAAAGTCGGACTTGAGGCATGCTGATGACCTGAACGGGGGTGTGGTAGAAGGGGGGTGTTAGGGGGGAGGGAGAGGGGATGGAGGGGGAAGGGATATGGGATGGAGGGGGGAGGGAGAGGGGATGGAGTGGAAGGGAGAGGGGATGGAGGGGAAATGGGATGAGATGAGATGAATTACTTGGCGCCTCATTCATGGTCAAACTCGGACTTGAGGCATGCTGATGGCCTGCGACGCGGGTGGGGTGGGGACGGGGACGCGAGAGGAAATGAAGGAGGGAGAGGATGGGGATGGGGTACAATGAGATACGCATGATGCGGCGTGGATGGAGGGTGGGCGGGGAAGTGGACAGCGGAGAGTGTGAGAGCACGGCCGGTAGGAAATAATACCAGGGATGGGGACGTGGGTGGTACGGTGAGTGGACAAATGAGGAATGCGAGGACCGGAAAGTTGACGAAACGGAGCGCACAAACTAAAGCTTCTCGTGGTGAAGTCAGTGGCCTTTATTCGTATTTGGAGATAACTCTCACGATACGCCAATAACACGAAGTGGACTCCAGGAAATGCTTTCTAGCACATAGATAGTTGGACTTATTGTACCGCATTCGTCGCAAGTGTGCCTTTCCGCTACCCTCCTTTCCTACAATCGGGGACTGAATGGCTTAGGATACACAAAACTGACTCGGAAGAGCTGCGCGAGTGCGCCATGAGAAGAGTGCGACGCGCGAAGGACAATGAGTGAGAGCGAGCATGGATACAATCCGCCAGAAGCGGCAAAAAGCCTAAACCGCGCAATGCAGACGCGAACCCTAATCTCCCCATTCATTATTAGCTTCAGTTTTTTCGTCCTCAGCGTGCCTATTGACTCGGCATTTGACTAAGCGAGATGCTTGCTTCGTCAGCGGACCGAACTGGGGAACTAGCAACTGACTAATGCATGTGAGTATACAGTGCCGCGGAGACCGATTAACCAATACGCGACCAACCAAGTCGCATCAACACAGCCCCAAACTAGGTCTTTCAGCGAAACCAAGGGACCGCTGCTAACCTAGCTAAGAGCGGGACCAGCAGCACAAGCTAACCTGATGCTCAGTGAAGCGATCTGATTCGTCAGCAATGCAGCGGAAGCAGCCATTTTCGCCACGCGAAAGGAAACCTCCTGCTAGGAGACGAAGGCTTTTCCTGTTGTGACACCTGCCTTCACCTGCTGCTGCTTTCGAATCGCCAACTAATCTGCTACAAAATCCGCGAGTTGTAGAGACTTATGAAAGGTGGAGCAGGGAAGGATTAGGGCACAGTGGGTGTGTGAAGTGACGGGCGGAAGAGAGCAGCGGAAGGGAAGAGCGGGAGGGAAGGGAAGGAAGACGGTGAGCGGAAGAAGGGGACGGAAATCTCGAGGGCGGGCGGGGATGGGCACCTCAATGTTGCGGAGTTCAAGGTCGGGGGAAGCCAAAGCATGGAGTCAGGGCTGTTGGGGGCAACGCTGCGTTGAATGGCGGAAAAAAACTTTTGTCCACGTTGCGCGCCACACCCACAGTGGCGGATGCTAATCTGCCACGCTTGCACGCATGATTGGTGGCCGACTGTTGAAACAATATCCTTCGTTAAAGACATCTAGCTCTCGGAATGTACACACTTGCTAAAACAATATCATTACGACACTCCCAGAACCTACATCTAGCCAAGATCATAAACTTTGCCTTGTAAACAAATTTGTTTAGAATGGGAGCTACTTCTTGCCACCCCCAGAGACATTGAACTTGAAGAAAATAATGTCTCCATCTTGAACCACATATGTCTTCCCTTCTTGCTTGTACTTGCCGGCAGCCTGTCATTACAGACAACACCACATTGTTCATTGAATGACAGCAGCACTTAGTGTAAAACAAAAACCACGTGCAGGAATTCTTTGTCGAAGTACAAGAAATTCACTTACCTTTACTGCAGCCTCCGATCCAAGCTCTTTTAGATCTTCAAACTTCATCACCTGGTAAAAAAACAGGTGCAAACAGTATAGAGCAACCAAATGCGGAACATGGGTTGAAGAAGCTACAAACCTGACAAAACACGCACACCGCTGCAAGAAGGACATCTTATAATAAACACACAAAGGTGCAGATGAATATTAAAGAGGCAACGGACCTCAGCACAGATAAAGCCCTTCTCGAAATCAGTGTGGATGGCCCCTGCTGCTTGTGGCGCCTTGGTCTGCTTGCGAATCTGCCAGCACCTCACCTGGTACACAGGGGAGCATAGAAGAACGAGGGGGAGCAGTGAGCAAAGAGGGGAGCAGAGAGGAAAGAGCAGCAGAGCAGGTCAATGGACAGTGTGGCCCCTGCTGCTTACGGTGCCTTGGACAGATGATGCTTGAGGCGCATCAAAGAGTGGTCGGCTATCGAATCCGCCAGCACTGCAGCAGCAGGCAGCAGCAGCAGGATTGAGGGTCTACAAATTGGCCAAAACCGGAGAAGAGACAGAGGACCGTGAGGGAAGAACGAGAAGGACAAGAATAACGAGGTGCAGGGCGGCAAGGCAAGAGGACCATTTAAAAGCTGATCTGACCTCGTCAGGCCCTGCAGTGAAGAAGTAGATCAAATGGATGGCCGCAAAACCCGTCTTGATGATCTTGGGAAGGCCACTGGGGAGGGCCATAGCGGGGGGAAAGGGGAGGGGGGGGAGGGGGAGAGAAAAGGGGAAAAGAGAGGGGAAAAAAGGTGGAGAGGGAGGGAAGTGGAGGGAGATGGTTGGACAGGAGGAAATGGAAAAAAAGTGGAAGCTTCATGGATGGATGGGAGAAAGAGAGGGTTGGGACGAACGAGTGAATGGATGAGCTGGAATCAATCAGGGGAGTTAAAGAGGGGATGTGGTGGGGGGAGGAGAAGGGGGAAGCAGGAAAGTTAATGGGAAGAAGGGGGGCACGACCGGGGGGGGAGGGGGAGGGGGGGGGGAGAGAAGAAAAAGTCAACAAGAGGAAACATTCTGTCTACTGCCCCTCCACAGGCATCCCTCCCCTCCTCACCTCTCAGCCCTGGATGTCGTTCTCGTTGGAGTTCTCACATCCCTGCGTCCCTCATTCCATTCCTTTTCACCAAATCCCATTCCTTCTCATCGCATCCCGCCCCTCCCCAACGCGCTCACCTCTGGATGTCGTTCTCCTTGCAGTAGGTGGCAGCCTCGTCGGCCGGCATGTCAGCAAGTTTGGACTCCAACACACCGCTGAACGGAATGATGGGGTCCTGCCCGTGCTCCTGCACCCTGCATGGGAAAGAAGGGAAGGTGGTTGTTGGGTCGGACACAGTTTAAGGTACAGTGTGACACACAGCACAGCGGGATGATGGGGTCCTGCCCGTGCCCCTGCACCCTGCACGGGGACGAAGGTGGTTGGGTCACGATTCAGTCATGCTTTCCTTCTGGTTTGCGTTGCGTAATGGGGTGAGTCATGGTGTGGCACACAGCACACCGCTGAACGGGATGATGGGGTCCTGCCCGTGCTCCTGCACCCTGCATGGGAAGAAGGGAGTTGGGTTGAGATGTGAGTGAACAGCATGGCACAGCACAAGAGAATGATGGGGTCCTACGTGTGCCCCTGCACCCTGCAGGTGAAGAGGAGTTGGCAATTGGGTCACAGCTTGGATCACTTTTGATTAAGTTATAGGGCGAGTCTTGGTGTGGCACACACACACCACACCGCTGAACGGGATGATGGGGTCCTGCCCGTGCTCCTGCACCCTGTACGGGGAAGAAGACATGAGGGGCGAGGAGCAGAACCAACAGATTCGTACATGACAGGTTAAACATGGTGTACGCATTTCCAGCTTCGACTCCAACACACCGCTGAACGGGATGATGGGGTCCTGCCCGTGCTCCTGCACCCTGCACGGGAAAGAAAAGATGGTTGGTTCGGCATTTGGTGTACAACACAAGGGAGTGACGAACGAAGGGCTTCTTAACCATGCCAATGCACTTCGCAGACGAGAAGTAGAGGGAATAATGTGGCCGGAGTGATTCCTTTCAAGCATGCAGACATCTCAGACAAGTGCATGCTTTGTAAGTCGCACAAAACCTGCAATCCTTTGAAGATAAAACAGAACAAAACAAAACAAAAACAAAGAAACGACACGAAAAAAACATTTGCACTCACCAGACATGGATCTTGGCAAGCCACTTGTTCTTCTTGCGCTGGTAGTCCTTCTCCGTCAGATTCACCTGCCATTGGTGAGCCATTAGAGCATCACGAGAGACGTAGTCAGTGACAACGTGTACAATTTGAAGTGTTGTAAACCTGGAGTCAAGCAGAGCCGAGACCAAGGGAGACTGTGATACCCATTTCTCGGTTTTGAGATTTCTTAAAAGCAAATGTGACACCCATTTGTTCATTCAGAGTCAATAGTTCACTTCACATCACACCGACGACGACGGGCATGGCCAGCTGGAACGTGTTGAGCAGAGAGACGCCAGAGTGGACTATCGCTGTCGTTCGTACATTCACTTCACACAATCACATTCATTCATTCATTCATTCCAACGAACAATCAACGAGTCCCTTTATGCGTACCAGGTAGACGACCGGCTTGGCAGAGAGCAGCTGGAAAGTGTTGAGCACTTCAGTGTCGGCTGCCTTCCACTCACCAAGCAGTCAATCGTTCATTCACACAGACTCACATTCACTCACACACATCCCCTCACATCACACACATGCCCTCACACACATACCAGGTAGACGACCGGCTTGGCAGAGAGCAGCTGGAACGTGTTGAGCACCTCGATGTCGGCTGGCCGCCTTTCAATAAGAGACCGTGACAGCCAGCCATACATTCATGTTCAAATACTCATTCGTTCGTAATCCTTCACCAATTTTCAGTCCCACACGCCCTCATCCGTACCAGGTAGACGACAGGCTTGGCAGACAGCAGCTGGAACGTGTTGAGCACCTCGATGTCCGCTGCCTTCCACTCAAACAGCAGTCATTCGTTCATTCGCACATAGACTCACACTAAATCAGACGCACCCCTCACAACATACCAGGTAGACAACGGGCTTGGCGGACAGCAGCTGGAACGTGTTGAGCACTTCAGTGTCGGCCGCCTTCCACAGAGAGACCGTGACAGCCAGCCAAACATTCATTCTCATTCTTTCATTCGTCCGTAATCCTTCATCCACTTTCATTCATACATGTGTTCGTTCGTACCAGGTAGACGACTGGCTTGGCGGACAGCAGCTGGAACGTGTTGAGCACTTCAGTGTCGGCCGCCTTCCACTCGCCCAGCCGCACGTCCTTGCCCTCGTTCAGATGCGCCAACACCTGGTGTTGGGATGGGATGTGCGCAAAGGGGATGTAGCTGAAGGAGGAAGAGAACAGAGAAAGGAGGGGCGTTGAGCACCTTGATGCCTGTCGGCCGCCTTCCACTCCTCCAGACGCACATCTGTGCCTTCGTTCAAATGCGCCACTCCCTTTCTCCCCCCTCCCGTTGGCCCTTTACCCCATTGACCTTCATACCTAAGGCACAGAGAGAGTGACTGATTCACACACCCTGAAGCACCCACTCTTGGGCACAGCTCGTGGTTGACTTTGAGCTGCTTGTCGTTGCTGCACTTGGGCTTCCCCCTGCGGTCTCCTCGCACACACACATCACCACATCCAACTTCTCCCCACCCTCTCCCCCCTCCCTCCTCTCCCTCTCTCTCTCACCCTCAGGCACAGCTCGTGGTCGATTTTGAGCTGCTTGTCGTTGCTGCGTTTGAGCTGCTTCTCATTGTCCTCCCTTTACCTACCCCTTTGACCTGCATACCGTGAGGCACATACCCTCAGGCAGAGCTCGTGGTCAATCTTGAGCTGCTTGTCGTTGCTGCGCTTGAGCTGCTTCTCATAGTCCTCCTTGGCTCGCTCCATGAACTCAATGTCCTTCAGCCGCAGCTCGTTGTGAATGATCTCCAGATCCCTGATGGGATCAACTGTGTCCTCCACATGAATCACGTCCGCGTCGTCAAACGCACCTGGTTGAGAGGGGTGGAAAGCGGTGAAAAACGGTGGAAACGGGTGCAAGGGGGTGGAAAGGGGTGAAAAGGGGTGAAAGGCGGTGATAACTTCCAGGTGCTCGATCAGGTGGACTGTGTCCTCCTTGGCTCGCTCCATGAACTCAATGTCCTTCAGCCGCAGCTCGTTGTGAATGATCTCCAGGTCCCTGATGGGGTCAACCGTATCCTCCACGTGAATCACGTCCGCATCATCGAATGCACCTGATTGCAAGGGGTGAAGAAGGGTGACGAGGGGTGAAAGGGGGTGAAAAAGGGCGAAGGGGGGTGACAGGGGGCGGAGAGGGTTGAAAGGGGGTAAAGCGGCCAGCTGTCACCACCAGGGAGGATGATCTCCAGGTCCCTGATGGGGTCCACCGTGTCCTCCACGTGAATCACATCCGCGTCGTCAAACGCACCTGGTTGAAAGCGGTGGAATGGGGTGAAAAGGGGCGATCGGGGGTGATGGGCGATCGGTTGGCATGAGCGAGAAGGGAAGTATCTCTAAGCAACACGTGAAAGGAGGTTGGGAGAGGCTGGGAGGTTTGGCACTTACGGCACACGTGGAAAATGCCATCAACGGCCCGGATGTGTGAGAGAAAAGCGTTGCCCAATCCCTCCCCTTCGTTAGCTCCGCGCACCAGCCCTGCAATGTCGTTCACCTCCAGAAAGGCGGAGACCTGGGAGAGAGAAGAGCGAGTGAGAGGGGGGAGCAGAGAAGGGCGGATGAGGTGAAGTCTGAAGCGTCTTAAGAGAGGAAAGCGTTGCCCAATCCCTCCCCTTCATTAGCTCCACGCACCAGCCCTGCAATGTCGTTCACTTCCAGGAAGGCGGAGACCTGTGAGAGAGAAGGGAAGGAATAAGGAAAGAGAGGGAAAGGCGAGGGGAAGGCGAGGGGAAGGCGAGGGGAAGGCGAGGGGAAGGCTAAAAGGGAAAGGGCAAGTGGAAGTGTTGCTGGGTACGACGCACACCAACCATGTCGTTCACCTCCAGGAAGGCGGAGACCTGAGAGAGAGGGAAGAAAAGGAATAAGGGAAAGAGAGATGGAGAGGCGAGTGGAAGTGCTGCTGGGTACGACGCACACCAGCCCTGCAATGTCGTTCACCTCCAGGAAGGCGGAGACCTGAGAGAGAGTAGGAAAGAGAGAAAGCGACAGCGAAAGGGGCGAGGGAAAGAGAGGTGAAACGAAAGGACAAGTGGAAGTGCTAAGCCATGCAAGGGGCACACCATCAGCCATGCATGGCCATGAGTCTTCAAAAATCGCTACTGTCACACTCAGTAGTAGCACTCTCGCTGCTGTCACTCCAGATCGTGCTTTGCTCACCTCGCTCTTGGGCTTGAACAGCTGGCAGAGCCAGTCAGTAGGTGACTGAAAGGACTAAGGCCGGGACTCGTAGCAACTAATACTCACCTCGCTCTTGGGCTTGAACAGCTGGCAGAGCCAGTCAAATCGCTCGTCAGGCACATTGACGCGAGCCTCGTTGGGGTTGATGGTGCAAAAGGGGAAGTTCTCAGCGGGGATAGAGAGCTTGGTGAGCGTGTTGAAGAGCGTTGACTTGCCGACATTGGGCAGGCCGACCTGGTTTGGAATACATAGAGAGATGGTTGGGGTGGTAAGTGCAAAAGAGGAAGTTCTCAGCGGGGATGGAGAGACTGGTGAGCGTGTTGAAGAGCGTTGGCTTGCCGAAATTGGGTAGACCGATCTTGGTTGGAGGAAAAAGAGGTGTGGATGGGGTTGATGTTTCCAAAGGGGAAGTTCTTAGCGGGGATAACAAGGATGGAGAAATTGGTGAGCGTGTTGAAGGGTGCTGGGTTGCCGACATTGCGCAGACTGACCTAATGTTGTAAAACGAGCAACGAGCAATGTGGAACTTAGGGTGACAAATCAACAGGAATATGGAGTCGGTCAAGGATACGCATTGAACAGAGACGTAATTTCAGCAGCACTTGGGAATGCATTATCGCGGATGTGTCGCATCCAACAGGGTATGGAAACATGGTCAGGAGCACGATCTTCAGAATACGTTAAGACATGGCGAACTCGTGAACCAGGATCGAAGAGACTCGAATGACGGTCGTCACGGCGACAAGGGGACTCTTGAGGCGCATCAAAAGGCGATACGGCGAACAGTAAACGAGGTGGATGCGGCGGATCACGCACGATAACGAACTTAAGAAAACGGGTATAAAAAGACTCGTGAAAGAAAGTTAGAAGTCATGGCGGGAAACGCACAATACCGATCTTAAGATGCGAGGAGAATCTACCGAGGATGGGCCTCTCGACTGGACCCTCTTTCTTCGACTTAGGAGGCATCTTCCCGGAGTGGTTCTACGACCAAATGCCAAACCTCGCTTGCTACGAAGAGCCAGATACGCGTTCCACACGAAAGAGGAGGGAAGCGCGTGACAAGAGTGTGATGCTAATGACCTAGAGGACAGCTAGGCACGTGGCCTAGTTTAGGCAAGCAGGACGTAAATACGTTCGTCGAGAAAAGGAACGGAAATGTCTGGGGAGTGGGCTTTTCAAGGTTCAGGTTGACGCTCCGCTATTGCGCAGCGCGGTACTTTCAAGTGTTCATATTGGAGATGGTGATTGTGATTGGTCGTATCGAGCTAGATCGCATATGCCAGTGATGGGGTGAGAGTGACCAAACATGCATGTATTATAAACATTACGATTTCCAGAGTGAGACTTACAAATCTGCATTTCAGCATAACAACATAGGCGTACACCAAACGTTTTTCCAAAGCCAGCCCACTTGAGCCTCTGAAGTTATTGCATAACAGCATGCAATGCAAACTCTCATCTTTCTGTGGTTATCCCATCGCAATTCACGAACAATCACACCATTTTATTTACTACTGCAAGCAAACATAGCACGCCTGTGGGTTTACTTCTTTGCAGGATGTTACGATATGAAGTTTTATGAGTAGGCATTCCTGTATGATGCAGGAGCCGACTCTACCGAGTACGAAGTCGAGGAGTCAGAAGAGCCGAAGCGACGCAGCAACCGTCTCACCAAGACCGATGCAGGCAGAAACATTTGAAGTGAAAAGAGCGGGAACAGGTTCAAAACGGGTTCCCGCGCCGCACGGTTTGAATTCCGCTGTAATAAGGGAATGTACCCCTTAGAGTACATGGCTAGTCTAGGTCTTTTCGTATTCCCCTGTACTCTTATATAAACCCGATGTATGCATGCTTTTATCAACTCAGTCATTTACATTCACTCTGACCTGAGATTCAAATCTTCCGTTGCAACACTACTCTGCGATCAACCCTGAGCGATCCTTCGCTAAGTCCCACTTGGGATTGTAACATGGTATGAGAGTTACTCAGGGATTCTTCGCATCAACACTTCCTTGAAATTCGCCGAACCAAGATCTGGCGAGCGGCACACGCTCCAAGACCAAGATGGCCGGAGGATCCGGAGGCCAAGCCAATCTGACGGCTGAAGGACAAACCAACCCGGCTGCGACAAATGAGGCGACAACTACGATCGGCACTGCCGCACTCGAGCAGTTATTCGCTCGACTTTCAACCATGGAGAAAGAACTCCAAGACTTGCGCAAAGGCGATGCGGGAACCTCTTCCCATCCAGCTCAACCTGGACAACCGGCAGCGAAAAGCCGTGATACCGCCGCGCACACCTTCTCCCTCGACACAGACAAATCAACAACAACTGCCCCCCGTCCAAGTGATGAAGTTATTAACTCTGCGCAAGCACGCTTCCTCAGCGTTTTAAAAATCAAGACTACCGCCGCCTTCGACGGCAAGGATTTCTATACATGGAGTTTTGAGCTTGAGCTCCTCCTACAGACAGCGCAGATCTACGATTACTTCGACGGCTCCTATTCTAAACCGGTGGACGACACCGACGACGCCAGGGCTCAGTACTACAGCGAGTCCCTCAAGGCGTATAGCGTGCTGCTACACAACATGACGCCTGCAGAGCAACTGAGCATCCGCTCCTACAAAGAGAGCGCCGCTCCAGCCTTGGAAGCCTGGAAGCACCTCATTGAGGTTTATCAACCGAAGGATTCGGTTACAGCCAGCAGGCTCCTGCAGCAACTCATGGAGACAAAGATGGGGCACGGGGAGAAGGCAAACTCTTATATTAACTGCTGTCGCAACATCCGTGACCAGATCACGAAGCATGGGAGCGCAATCTCGGAAGAGATTTTCGTCAATATAGTCCTTCAAGGACTCGGGCCAGAGTGGAAGCTCTGCAAAGCGCTACTCCGACAGCGAGGAATCATCTCCGAAGCCGCGCTATGCGCCGCACTCCTGACTGAACAGCAGGACATGGATTCGAGCAGAACAAGCTCAGCGCCGCGCCGAGAGCGCCTCGCCTTCTACGCTGACAACCGTGAAGAGCGACGACAACCAAGGCGCCACTATTGCAAAATATGCAAAGTCTTCGGACATTCAACAGATCGATGCAAGTCCCGATCCAACTATCGCCACCCAAATTCCACTCACCACAACAACTGGGTCGGCCGACAGGATGCTCGTCATCCTCAGTCTCAGCAACAGACACCTCGTCCTCCTGCGCAACATCAACATCAGCAAACTCAAGGATCTCAATCAGGAGCTCCTAGGAACATCATCGCAAATATGACGACGCGCCGACGTCCCACTGCTGAACCTGACGAGGAAAATGAGATTCAAGGAAGACTCCTTGAACCAGAAGAGGGTTGGAATAATCCCCTCACTGAAGATCACTATTACCAGTATGACGAGGACGAGCAGGATTGGAACCAGCCAATCACCTTGCGGGAAAGCCCGCCGCATGACAATCAACACTACGTACCGGTGGGATGGAAGGAGGACGAAGATCCTTTCTTCCATATGCGCTACAAGGCGACCCTGGTGACTCCGCGACTGGCGCTACTTCTGCGCAGGAACAACACCGACAACCACAACACCTGGTACCTGGACAGCTGCTGCGGACAGCACATGGTGGGATCTACGCGATACGTCTCGAACCTGAGCCGCGCCCCCCCAACTTACGTCACCGTCGCCAACAACGAGCAACTGCGCGCCAATGCGCAAGGCATCGTGGTCCTGCAAGCACGTGACAGCAACACGCACATATCGTTCAACGATGTACTCTACGTCCCAAACCTTCGTTTCAATCTTCTCTCAGCAGGACAACTTCGCGACTGCAGCGTCATTCTCACCACGGACCTCGACACACGCGACCTCATTCTCACATATGCTCCCCCAGATACCCCTCCCGAGTCGTTCAAAGATCTCGGACGAGCCCGCTCGATCAACGGAATCTATGTCCTCGACTTCGACGTACCTTCCTGTCAAGCATCATCCGATGAGCTCGTGGACCTCGTTCCTCTTGAGTTCGCCTACACGAGTAAAAGGGAGCACCCAGACGGACGACCATGGATTCGCCGCAGTCCCCATCCTCGCGAGGTCAATCTGCACGAGCCAGACATCAATGGACTCTGCACCACCTGCCACACACCCACGGCGAGCCGCACAGAGCAAGTCGAAAGGGAGTACGCAGCAATCCAGGAAGCGGAGAGTGCCGAGGCAGAAACAACAGGCATGACTGAAGAAACAAAGCTCACTCGACATCCTGCCCGTGATCCGTGGGTATCCGACCTGAGTCTTCTGTGACATCTTGGCCTGTGTTCCGAGGTAACTTTTGAGTCGACTCAAAAAGTCAACAGTCACCTTCTCAGTCGACTCAAAAGTCAAAAGTCGCCTTCTGAGTCGACTCAAAAGTAAAAGTCACCTTCTGAGTCAACTCAAAAGTCAAAAGTCACCTTCTGAGTCAACTCAAAAGTCAAAAGTCACCTTCTGAGTCGACTCAGAATTCAAAAGCCACCTTCTGAGTCGACTCAAAAGTCAAAAGTCACCTTCTGAGTCAACTCAAAAGTCGAAAGTCACCTTTTGAGTCAACTCAAAAGTCGAAAGTCATGTCAAACATTATATGTTTACATTGTGTAGGCTATAGTGGGTTTAGCCTTAGGGGGTACAACAAACTTAGGGTTTCCTACTTGTACCCAACTTTCTGCTAGTTCATTTCATTCTCGTTCATCCTTAGTTTCTAACATGGTATCGCGAGCCTAGGTCGTAACCTAGGACCGAACGATTGGGCCCACCGTTTCCGCTTAGTCGCGCCCTAGCGCGCCTCGCCTAGTCGCGCCCTCGAGCGCCCTCCTCTCTCCCTCACAGTCGCGCGCCCTAGCGTGCCCCTCGCGATCGGCCCCGCTTAGACCGCACGCCCTGGCGTGCCCCGTGCGATCGGCCCCGCCCACCTCGTACGCCCTAGCGTGCGACCCGAACGGCACCACGCGCGTCGCCTGCCCCGCGCGCCCTTGCGTGCCCCGTGCGGCCTCCGCGCGCTCGCTGCCCCGCGCGCCCTTGCGCGCCTCTTACGGACCGGCCCTGCCCCTTAGCGCGCGCCCTTGCGTGCTCCGTGCGACCGGCCCACACCCACCCGCGCGCCCTTGCGTGCCCCTCGCGTACCGGCCCCGCCCAGCTAGCCCGCCCTTACGTGCTTCGTGCGACCAGGCCCCGCCCCATTAGCCCGCCCTTGCGTGCCCCGTGCGACCAGGCCCCGCCCTCGCTAGCTCGCCACTTCGTGCCCCGTGCGGACCGGCCCCGCTCTGCCCTGCACGCCCTCGCGTGCCCCACCTCGAGTAGCCGCCGCCTAGCCGAGCCGATCCGCCCCACCGAACCGCGTCACCCGGCCCGAACCGCGCCGCCCTACCGAGCCGCGCCACTGCTGCTGTCACTGCTACTGACACTACTGCTGTTCCTGCTGCTACTACTGCTACTGCTCTTACTGCAACTATGGCTAGCCTTGCTGTGCTCGCTTTCGATGCTGAGGGCCGCCCGCTGAAGTTTGACACCTGGCTAGATGACTTGCACCTGTTCCTCCAGCTCACTGCAAAGGAGGATATCTCGCTGTACGATCACGCACTAGGACACGCTGCTGCCCCTGCTGCTACTGCTGACAGTACTGCCCGCTCACAGTGGCAGACTCGTGACGCCCACGCTCGCTTTGCTATTCGCAACTCCCTGCCGGTAGATGAGCGCGAGCACTTTGGCCAGCACAAAACTGCTCAGGCACTGTACACTGCTGTAGTTGCACGCTACTCCTCACCTGCCTCTGCTGCGCTAGGCCGTCTCTCGCTCCCCTACCTGTTCCCAGACCTGTCCGCTTTCTCCACAGTCGCTGACCTCATCACGCACCTCCGCACTAGTGAGGCCCGCTTTCGTGCCGCTATGCCCGCTGAGATTCTTGCCACCCACCCCCCCCCGCTCTGGCTCACTCTCTACCACCTTGT